TGTGTGTGTGTGTGTGTGTGTGTGTGTGTGTGTGTGTGTGTGTGTGTGTGTGTGTGTGTGTGTTATTTATTTTTTGGTGAGCGTGTGTGCCTGTTGTGAGGTGTTAAGGTAATGTGTATCTATGCAGTACAGTGCAAAGCTGACAGAGTTTGAGATCTTTGGCAGGACATAGGAACACGTTGTGCATATCTGGTCCATTCTTACACACACATACACACACCCTTTCAAAGACTGAAAACATCTGTCACTGGGTCTGTTAGTGAGTCATTTTAAAGGATATTTCCTTATTGCTTAACTTTTTGTAGGTTCTCAAGTACCTGGATTATGTCTTCACTGGAGTCTTCACCTTTGAGATGGTGATTAAGGTGAGAAGGATGGAAAAATCAAAGTACATTTTCATTCGAGCCGCATGAGCTATGAAAACCTGCTGTGCAAGATTTTAGTCAAACGTCTACAACATCTGTGGTGAGCTAAATGTAAAGATTGCCTTGATCAACACTCAACAAAGCTAAAAACACAATCACAAAGTAATAAAACTACATTGACACTTTCTCCAAAAATATTGCATTGGTATAATACTTGATAGATGCCTTGATCGCTAAAATACAGAAAACTATTTGATGCATGCATCATCAAAAAAAAAGCATATTCAGAAGCAAGCATGTCACTCTCATAATCAGCTGCTTACATCCTATTGCCTTTAACTGTTCTGTTACAACGTGTAGCATGTCTTTCTCTACTTTGATAGTGGTATTTTTTAAGCTGCTGCAAGAACCAAAATAATCCAAGTCAGAGTCCTGGAGATTTGAACCTAAAACAGAAGCCAGACACCCCGCTACAAGGAAGAATATTTGGGTTTTGCATCACTTAATAATGTAAACTGGCTCACAGACTTCTCCATAATAATTAGTCCAATTAGGAAGCAGCAGGAATAGTTTCATGACAGACATTATTTTCTGTCAGCTTGAAGATTCTGTCCTTTTCTGGATATATGCACTGTTTACTTATATAGTGTTTCAGTTTGGGTTTTTTTTTTATCTAATAAGGATTTGTTTCATAATGAGCTTTCGTCATTTTTAACCAAATTTAGCTTGTTAGATTTATTTTTACTTTATGCTTTTGACCTGCTTATAACCACATCTGAGCTTTAATGAAAAGGCCAGCAAACTGTGGATAGCATGTCACTGACATCACTAATTGGCTTTGTGGTTTTACGTGGAGATAACACTCCATCCCAATGTGTCTAATTTAATTCTGTAATTCCATCACTCTCTGCGACTCCAGATGATTGACCTGGGACTGCTTCTCCACCCTGGCTCTTATTTCCGTGACCTGTGGAATATTCTGGACTTCATCGTGGTCAGCGGAGCTCTGGTGGCCTTTGCCTGCTCGTGAGTCAACTTTCCCTTGAATTTTTTTCTGTTCATTATTTTATCATCCCAGCAGTGCTTGAATATAATGTACACCAACCACATAACAAGATGTGGAAACCATCATCATTAAAACGCCAAATGGTTTGTTTTGTTGCCTCCTCTCAACTATCCAGTGGACGAGCATTATGAATTTTAATGTGCTCGTCTTATTGTTTTCCCATGAATTCCAAGACTTTTGTGTTGCCCAGCGGTTATTTTGCTGCCATGATTATGTTACATAAAGTCTTCACAGCCCCTCCCTGCTAGTTGGCTAATAGGTCATGCACAATTTGGCTGATAGGTTTAAGGCTCAGGTGGAGACAGAAGGACAGGATTTTCCCATGACTGTCAGGCTCTAGCTGCCATCTAGTTGGTACTTTGGATTTAATGCCTTATACAGAATCTGCTTTTTGAATATTCGTTTTCTTCTTAGTGGAGTAGAAGTTCGAACATAGTATGGATCATAGACTGTATATAAAACACTGCATCAACTTATTTACATTGTGCATGAGTTATATATGAATGAGTTTAGGGAAGGTAACAATGTTTACACACATCTTTTCTATACATTCTGTAAAATGTTTATGTCATTTGCTAGTTTTACGTCTTATTTAATATTGTCAGGTATTTATTTGAAATATATGGTCGGATTGATGATAAAGAAGGCCATTACCATCTTGTCATAGACAATTCACTAGAATGCTCATGTTTAGGCTTCAAAACAATAGCGTAAACCATTAGGTGATAACATGGTGGCCATGTTTTGTCCATTTTTTATATACAGTCAATGGCATGGTTATAAGAACCACACTGTTTACAGTGTTGTGAGAAAGTATTTGCCCCCTTCCTGATTTCCTAATTTTTGCACATTTGTACATGCTTCAGATAATCAAATAAATTTTAATTGCAAATAACCCCACGTAATTACAAAATTCATTTTTCTGTTTTTTCAGATGATGATTTCATTTATGAATGGGAAAGTTATCCAAACCTACCTGGCCCCATGTGAAAAAGTAACCTGAAATCAAGTGTTTACGTGGCAATGAGTTTTTCATTTGCTGTGGAGGAATTTTGGCTCACTCTTCTTTGCTGAATTGTTTTGATTCAGCCACTTTGGAGGGTTTTTCTAGCATAAACGGCCTGTTTAATGTCATGCCAAAGCACATCAATTTGATTGAAGTCCAGACTTTGATTAGTCCACTCCAAAACCTCCTTTTCTTGTCTGGATTTTTTTTGAGCCGTTCAGATGTGGACTCACTGAATATCCCATGTTAACTTGAGTTACAACGCTTGTCTCGTCAGTCCACAGAATATTTTGTCAAAAGTCTTGGACACCATCAAGATGTTTTCTGTCAAATGTGAAATGAGCTTTTGTGTTCTTGTTGGCTAGCAGTGGTTTTCTCCTTGAACACTCCCATGGGTTTTTCCCAGTATCTATCTTATTTTTAAATTATGAACTCTGACCTTAACTGACGCGAGTCCTGCGGTTCTTTAGATATTGTTCTGGGTTGTTTTGTGGCCTCCTTGATAAGTCATCAATGCACTCTTGAAGTACTTTTGATAGGCTGGTCACTCCTGAAGGTTCAGCACTGTTATAAGTTTTCTCCATTTGTGGATAATGGGTCTCAGCGTGATTCGCTGGAGCTCTAAAGCCTTAGAAATGGCTTTGTGACCCATTCCAGAGTTATAGATGTCAATGACTTTGTTTCTCAGCTGTTTCTTTCAGCTGTGCCACGATGTGATGTGGTTAATCACAGAAAGATTCATGATTTAGCAAGTGGGACACTTTTTTTCACATAGAGCCAGTTAGGTTTGCATAGCTTTCCCTCCCTTAATCAATGAAATAATAGAAATGTAAAAACTAAATTTTGCATTTACTTGGGTTATTTTTATTTAATACAAAAATTTAGGTAAAAGAAGAAACTCTGGAAAGGGGCCAGATTTTTTTCATTGTATAACCTGCCCTTAGATACTGTGGTGTAAGTCAAAATTAAATCCCCACTTGCACTGTAATCTGAGTGGAATTGACTCCTTATTGGTGAGCATTCTTACTGGTATCAGTAGACTTATTCTTGTTACCTGTATTTCAGTATATCTCAGTATACAACTGGTTTGGAAATCATGTAAATAAATGTTTTCCAAAGCCAGAGGAGTTCTGGGTCTCTTGAGAAAGCTGGTGATCACACATTTTGTTTTGAACAATGTTTTCAGGGTTTTTTGCCACTATTTCACACACTGACTGAAACTCTCCACAGTTGCTTGTCACGTGTGTTTTTCTTTGTAACGCTTTCTGTCTCTGATTTCTCTTTTTCCCTTTTTTTGTCTTTTGCCAGCACTAGGTTGATGCTTGTCTCTGTCTTTTATCTGTTGCTGACTCTTTCTCTGTATTCTCTCTGTCACTTTTTCTCTTTCTTCTTTGTTTTCTGGCTTGGATTGCTTTCAGGAGCCTTATGGGGTAATGCCTGCTCTTTCTGTCAGTCTGTCTGTTTATTCATGTGCACATCTGCCCATTTGAATCACTTTTTCTCCACCTTAGCTCATGGTATTTTCAGCAAGGTGTTGTTTTTTGTCTTCTCACAGCTAAATGTTTTGCACAAATGTCATATTTTGTTATTTTCTATTTTTATCATCGCCACCACAGTCACGATTAAAGACATTGCATTTCCTCTGTTTGTGTTATGTAACTATGTTGTGTTACATCTGTATTCAGGTTACATAAGAGCAATTACCCGTTTTCCATTTATTGGACATATTTTATGTGTGTTAGAAGCTACAATGTACACAGTGCACGGTGGACCAGTGCTGAGATTGAACAAAACACTGCTTCAAAAACATATCAGACGTTTGAGCTTTCATAGGGTGATTCAGGTCATTATGAACACAAAGAAACTGAATGATGCTGCTTATAATAACGACGCAAATAAATAAAAGAGCTAAATAAAAACTATTAAACAGAGTGAATAATAGATGAAGGATTTTCTTACCAATAATGCACAGTTAATGATATTCAGGAGTTATCAAATTGAACCCCTTCATCCCTCCATTCAGCTTTCACTTGCTGTCTGGCATTTTGTTTCTCCCGTCAGCTCTGTAATCAACTCTCATTCACACCAATCAACCATGTAAGAGGCTCCATTCACAGCACCAGGTCTAATGGATAGATGTGATACCTGACAACCTACATTTTATTTTTATTTAGATCTTATTTTCATACTTAATCTAAACACAGGAAAAGGAAGGCAAGTTGTAAACCTGTTACCCAAACTGTCTGTTTTGAAACATCCAACACAGTTACTGCTTTGTGTTTTTGAAGGCGCTTACTTTAGAATTAATGTCTAGATATAAAAGGATTTTATATATTAATATTGTGTTTCAACTGAAAGGTCAAAATTTATTTAAAAACCGCTAATCATTTATTTAAGCTCAGTTTTTAAAACCTTAGGATGTAACTACAGCCCAGCCCATGCAGCAGTATATGAATGACTAACCTCGTATTGTGGATGGATTATCTCAGTTGTTCTCCTGGCCGAAGTTTGGTCCTTTTACAGCATCCTTCATGCGATTACATTTGTTCCTGACCACCGAGAACACTCACAGTAACTTTTATCGAGTGGAAAAAATGTTAGCTTGTTTATATTATGCTAACATAGCTGTGTCGCTAGTGGTCACGTAGCACATCATTATATACCAGCTAGCCAAACTTCAGTAACCCTACAAACGTCACTGCTGTTTAGTTTTCTGTCTTCATTTATGTTGGAAGTGATAGCAGAGCTGTACATTTTAATTTGTTTCCAAAACCCCGCAGTCAGGAAAATGTCATAAATTCCGTTTTCATGGATGCCTGGATGCTAAACTCAATTGTTACACCTGGTAGAGCAGAACGCTGATCATTTTATTAAAGATGAAAGACTTTAGACAGTTTTTCAACTCTAAGTAATGCCATAGTGATCGTTTGATATATGGACCTGCAGCGGAGTTTAGGTCCAGACACGGCTAGTGACGTCAGACTTAACGACCGGATTGCTTGTTTTTAGTCTTATTTAATACTGTATGATGCTAAGTTTGAAAATTATGGCACTCACTATTAGTAAAAAGGACAATAAAGCCTTAGTAATTGAATAATTACTAGTTTTTGAGCGAGAGATGCTCAGCTCTCAGACAGGTCCACAGCTTGATTATCACTTTCAAGCGAGATGGCTACGGCAAAACCGCTCTGCTTGAGGCTTCAAAACAGTAGTCCACAAACTAATGGGTGATGGTACTGTTGCTACATGCGTCTTTTATATACAATTTGTGGAGAGCAAGCTAACATGTAGCCACTAATCAGCCACAGCTTAAAAATGATAAAACTGTCAAACAATTGTATTCACAGAAAATGTAAAACTCAAAGACACATATTTACAAAATGTTTTTATTTGCTTCAGAAATGGTTAAATGCAAATACCAGTATAACACTCTGTAACATTATCACCTTTATTATTATGTTGCATTTTATACTAATTTTCTAAAATATTTTCCGCAGCAGTAGTAATGCACCACATGATCAGAGTATAGCTGCATTGGTGTCTTGGCTCCATACCCATGATCTTCAGCATACTAAAACACTGCAATGTAACAGAATTACTGTAGGACCACATTTCTTAACTCCAGAGTATATGTAGTCAGTCATGACATTATAATCATCTTCATGCCATCAGTTTGATTTTCCCTCATATTCAGTATCCACAAAAACTATTTCTTCCAAATATGTTATCCAGCTTATCTTGCTTTAAAAGGGTGTTTACTTTAAATTTACTTAAAAGTCACTTTTTTGTCTCTTATCTTTGCTTTCTTTTGATGTGTTTTGAAGTTTGAACCACCAAAATTGTCACTATATCTTCACGCCTGGGTGATATCTGTGTAAAGTGTTTATTTTGCTCTGTCTTGCTTTACATGCTGCTGTCTGTCTTTGTGTATTGTCTGCGTGCATATGCTTATCATTTCTTTTCCCCATCAGATCGCAACAAAGCGTGGCCAGGTGGGAATTGTCAGTATCTACTTTTTTTCTTTTTAACCCCTCGTACCCTTTTGCCCTCCTCCTGTGAAACACAGAACATTCCTCTTATCAGCCTCCGAGGTTTACGTTGTCGCCCTTCATCCCAAAGTGCTTGGGATGTGACTCCCTTCCCTCCTCGCTTTCCCTCCCTTTTATAAACCTTTTCTCCTGTCCCAGTATTGGGACATCAAGACAAAAAGGAAATATTGGGAGCTCTCCCTCATAGCTTTCAGAAGTTAATCAACACACAGACGGGGATTTGGGCTGCAGGAATCTGAAACTCAGGTTATCAGTTGTATCAAAGCTTAACTCCTTACCTATCCTCTCAGTTTTCTCTTTTAATCATGACTAAAGTCAATTTAATCGGTTAAATGTCCAAGAGATTACCAACCTCCACCTTCATCTCTTCTTCTTTATCCCTATGGAATTAGAGGGCAGCCAATAAAGGATTATAGCTCCTCTCATGAATTCACCTTAAATAATTTTTTTAATTTGTTCCTCACAGCCTGTCGTGTTTGTAAGGAAAATCACAATAGACATCTGTTTTTCTCTGTTAAAAGAGAGTTTTTGCTTTGTTAATATTTGTTTTTGAAAAAGACAGAATTTTAGAGTATGCCATATTTTTAACCTTTTAAAAATGTTTCTGAATAAATGGAAGTAGCGGATCGGGCTACACTGGGTGAAGAGTGTGTTAACAGTGTCCTCTTGCAATGTTGTAGATTTGAAAATACTCCCATTAGTAGAAATCAAAGAGGAAAATGGAGAAAATATGCAAACCAGCTGCTGCTATGCACTAGAGGCTCTAAATGAACACTAGAAAGGCTGACCTATGATACGGATTGTATTGGAGATATTTTTTAAAATGTGATTTTGACCTGCATTTTCAGCTTTTGCTAATAGTCAAAGAAAACCTTCACTATTACCATTAAAATGGGAAATTAATAAGCCAAACATACATTATACAAAATTCCTCAAGAACTTTGAATCCTCTGTAAATTTTGAAACAGAGAGCAGGAGCTTTGCGCATCCGATTTTGCTGATGCAGCTTTAGACGTCAGATGTTACGAGTCTGAACAGGAAATCTTCTCTTTCGTGAGCGAGCAGCGGCTACAGAAGTTAAGCTACTCCAGATGACCTCATGTGTGGCTGCTGAATACGTTGCAATCACCGCTGATGTGTGCTGCATTGACGTGAAAACACAAACTCCCCGCCCGTGCGCTTCTGAAAGCTATTGGGAGACTGTTCTTGCCATCTCAATGTGTTGAGGTCCTTAAAAAGCAGGACTGGCATTGACTTCGCAAATTGCATGCCAGAGTATCCAAGTTATACAAGCATGAGAGCCGCATGCCGTTTTGTTAGATTTTTTTTATTGAGAATTTGAAAGGCCCCCAGGGCCAGAATTTTTTGGAACCATGCTTCTCTCCGGTTTGAGTTCTGTCCTTCCCTCGCCAGTCACCACATATTAAAAAAATAGCCATGTTCATTATTCTGGTGGGTTTCTCTGAGTCCCCTAGTACCTAATAACAATCCTTTCTTTTTAATGAGACCCTGTAAATGCGCTGACATACTGACCTGGGTCTGTGCGAGTGTGTCTGTGCTTGTCCAGCTACCTTAATGAGGACCATTTTCACTTTGGGAGCATTAGAGCAAGAACAATCTGTAGAGGAACTTTTTGTCCTGTCCTCACTTCTCCAAAGGTCTTTTAAGGTTGGGTTTTAGGGTTGCTGAGAGGTTTAGACACAGTTAGGGTGGTAAAAATAGGTAAGCACACTATGAGCCAGGAAAAGGTATTGAAGAAGGCATTACTGTATGTTAAAACTTTGTAGCTTTGTTTCTACATCTTCTTTTTGTTTGCCTGTATCTTATTTTTATTCTTGCTGCAAGACTAATTCTAATGTGCCAAGAGGCTAGCCTCCAGGTAATGACCCAAAAAGAAGACACAAGAGGGAAGGATTGTGCTTTAAATTTAATGTGTATTTTTTGGAAATATGCCTTTTACTATTGCAGGTCGAGGACATCTTAGGCTAGTATGCTAATGTTAAAAGCTTGTGATATGCTGTTGGGTATCTCGAACTAATAAACTTTCCAGCCAGGAATAAACCAAAAGTTTGAGTTCTTTACAGAACTCTTCATATAAAATGCACTCACCTGCCACTTTGTTAGGTACACCTGTTCAACTTCTAAATAAGTAACTATTCAGCCAATCACATGGCAATGACTCAGTGCATTGAGGGGTGTAGACATGATTGATACAACCTGCTAAACTTCAAACCAAGCATCAGAATGGGGGAAAATGTGATTTAAGTGACTGATCAACACATATAATGAATGCTTATCTACTGTGATTTTACCATGCAGGCAGGGTTTACAGAGAATATTCTGGAAAAGATTAAATCTCCAGTGAACAGTAGTTTTCTGAGCAAAAATGCCTTATTGGTGTCAAAGGTCAGGGGAGAATGGCCACACTGCTACCAGGTTATAGAAAAGAAAGAGTAACACAAATATCCAGTTGTTACAACCAAGCAATGCAGAACAAGTTGATGCTTAAAGTACATGGGCTCCATGAGCAGAAGAACGCACCGCGGTAAATATAGTCTCAGGAAACTGAGACTATATATCCAAACGTTAGGCTGCTGGTGGTGTAACGGTGTGGAGGGATATCTTCTTGGTACCTTTTTTTTTTTTACACTTTACCAATTAAACACCACAGTCTACCCGAGTAATTTTGCTGACATTGTCCATGCCTTCTTGAGCACAGTGGTCAACAGGATAACACTCCATGTCACAAAACTCACATCATCTCCAACTGGTTTCTTGAACAGTACACTGTACTGTACTCAAGTGGTCCTCTACAGCAGCGGTCCCCAACCCCGGGGCCTCAGACCGGTACCGGTCCGTGAGTCGTTTGGTACCGGGCCGTGAGAGTTGAGGCTCAGGTGTGAAATGTATGGTTTTCAGGGTTTTTTATCGGTTTGCAGCGTTATTTTGTTATCGTTTTTATCGTTAACTCGGTTTTCCTGGGTCTTTTCACGTGTGTTATGAATAAATATTCTTTTTTTCGGTACAGGTACTAGTTTTATTTTGTTGTATTTATCCGCGACACCTCCGTGAAAATATTGTCGGGCATAAACCGGTCCGTGCCGCAAAAAAGGTTGGGGACCGCTGCTCTACAGCCACCAGATTACAATCCAGTAGAGCTTCTTTGGGATGTGGTAGAACAGGAGATATGCATGATGGATATACAGTTGACACCCACAATGCGTGTCACTAATTAATTAAAAATCCTTCACACTCAAACTATCCTTGGCCAGTGTCACTCTGTGAATGATGGCTCGACTGTATGTCATTATCATGATGGCTAGTTTTTAAACCCCCACGCTTACTTCCCATAAATAGTGAGCAAAACGTGCAACGTCTGCAGTGACAGCAGTGGTTCCTGCAAAGAAACTGCCTCCTGCACCTGCGGCAGATTCTTTGTGCATTTACTGTAAAAATGTATGATTTTGTGTGTTATTAAACAGAAACAATGCTAATTTGTATTGTGGAAGAAGCATCGAAGGAAGCAATACCTGGAACAATTCACTACCAGACATAGTCCTTCAATGAAAACTTGAAGTATGGAATGAAAAGGGTATAATTTCACTGTTGTGTGAATAGCTTTTGTTGTGGATTTTGAAGATGGAAAAAACAGACCAAAGGAAAGATTAAAGGAAAAGAAAACAAGAACAAAGGGAAAGAAAATGAAAAGAGGCTTAAAAAGGGGTTTGGAAGAAAATACATTATAACAGGAAACAGAAAAATAAACAGAAAATACACTGAAGCATGTAAGAAACAAACAAAAAAGAAGGTCAGAATCTTCAAAGAAAGAAAATATTGAATGTCAGGAAGGTGTGGAGGGAAGGGATGACTGAATGATGGAATGAAGAAGCGGAGGGAGGGCAATAAGGAAGGAAAAAGGAAAAGGATTAAGAAAGGAAGGCAGGAAAGAAAGGAAGTGGTTTTAGAAACAAGATCAGGACAATGGGAAAAGATAATAGAAGGAAATAAGGTTAGAAGGAAGGAAAAAATAAAGATGGAAAGATAGAATAAGGAAAAGAAAGAATTAGGAAAGCTGGGGATGGACTACAACAAGGGGGAGAGAAGAAGGGGAGGAAGGAAGGAAAAGAAAAAGCGATGAAAGGAAGGATACGAGGTTTGGAAGAAAGAAAGGGCAGCAGGTTTCAGGTAAACAAGGAAGGAGGGGTGTTAGGACAAGGAAGGTAGAAAAGAAGATTTGAAGAAAAGAGGCATAGTAAGGAGTTATACTGGGAGGAAAGAAGGGCATTAAGAGAAGGGAGAGGAGGGAAAGACAACAAGGAAGAAGAATAAGTGAGAAAGGGAAGAAAGGTAGGAAGGGAAAGAAGCATCAATGAAAAGACAAAAAGGATGAAATAAAAGGAAGAAAGGAAGTAGATATAGAAACAAGGAGAGGAAGGAATGATGAAAAGACAGGAGGATAAGAAGGAAAGAAGGAAGGGGGAAGGTAGAAAGGAAACATGTCTTCCCAATGTGATGTTTATGTAAAGTTTGGTCAGAAGGTTCCTTTGTAAGTGCGCATGCGCCATTAGCGTGCTGCCTGCTGTAACCCCTAATTTCCTTCGGGATTAATAAAATATTCTGATTCTGAAATAAGGAAGAAAGGCAGAGAAATAGATAGGAAGGAAAGGAGCTAAGGAAAAAGGAAGGAAAACTAGGAAGGAAGATGTGGGAACAGAAAAGAGAACATAATGAGTCTGTGAAGGTTCTCAGTCATCCAGGTCACCGTAGTCAAAGGTGACCTGGATGACTGAGAAAAGCGTCAAAGTCCAGACGCTTTTCTTTGCAAGCTCCTTTGAGAACATAATGAGATTCACACATCTTAAAAGATGCGTGAAGTTGTAGGAATGAAAGAAAAAAATAAAATAAAAAGAAAACAAAGCAGCCAAAGGGAAGATCAGAAAAAAGGAAAAGAAAGGGAGTAATTACAAAAGTATCTCGATAAGAAGAGAAGACTGGTGAAGCATGTTTCTGTAGAATAACATACCTCACTCACATGCATGTGTTCTACTAACAGAATATATGCATCCTACAATATAAACCTGGTGAAGTGCAGTCAGTTCTTGTTAATGCAGCCTGAGTTGAAAGGGTTTAGAGTGTCATTGCACTACATCACCCGGACTAACTGTACTCTCAATCTGCACAGAGGGACAAAAGGCAAGGACATCAACACTATCAAGTCCCTGAGGGTCCTCCGGGTCCTGCGGCCACTCAAGACCATTAAACGGCTGCCCAAACTGAAGGTACGGTAATCAAATCTGTCACAGATCGTTCTGTAAGTCTGTAAGAAAAACTAAAAACCCACAGAGCACCCAAACAGTCCTGATCCGCCACAATATGAAACAGGAAAATACCACCGTGTAATCCATTTATTTCAACAAAGCAACTGTATTCTAAATACCACCTTTTAAAACGGTAACTGTAACGGAATACAGTTACTCATATTTTGTATTTTAAATACGTAACGGCGGTACATGTATTCCGTTACTCCCCAACACTGTAGATAGACCTGCCACCGCACAGTTTAAACCGTCCTGAACATCGAAAGTCTACAAGAATCAGTGGAACAACACAACTAACACATTTGAATCCTGGTTTGTCTGTTGATCAGCTTGCTCTATTCAGCACTTCATGCCTCCTACTTATACACCCCTGACACATTCGTGCACACAATCGAGATGCAGTCTCCAGAAACCTACTCTACCATATCAGACATGAAAAGTTTGATTTTTGCTTGATTTTTTGCTTAGATACTGAATTTTATATTCTGTGTCTTACACGCCTACAGTAGGCGAGTACTTGGTTCTCGAAGGAGTTTTGTGGCAATTAACAATGAAACACATACTTAATGCACTGTAACACATTACACTGATGATTTCTCATTGTTTAGCCAATGTTTTATGACTTATGCGATATATTTAATCGTTTGGACGTGATTGCTGCATTTGCAGTGTTAATAGTTTGGCTTATTTGGTGCTCACTTACCTGTCAGCCTTGAGCTGGCAGCTATTCCTCTTTTGTTTGTGATGAATTGGCAATTATTTCAAATTGAGTTTGCAGAAACTGGGTTACCGCAGAAGTGAAGTCTGTTCTTCTCTATTTGTCTTCCATCTTCATTAAAATATGTTTAAATTGTGTGTTTCTAAAAAAAGAAAAAAGAAAATCACTTAATTTAAAGAAAAAAAGGTGGTGTTTTTTTATGTGGATTTACAAAAACTCCTAGGATTACATGTCCTCATTATTGGAGGTGTTGTGCTAATTATACTGAGCTTATGGAGAATTGATTACTGCAGAGAGTTTTGAAGATCTTTAAAATCAATAGTTAGAATTTATATAATATATTACCATGATGCAGCTATTATAAAGATATATATTATAAAGAATTACACTGGGAGCACAATGCTGTATAGAATCCTGTTTTCCTCAATTGTTGTCTCAGACACAGAAATGACAGCTTTCCTCTGCTGTGTGGACAAAAGTATGTGTCAAAAGAGGAGAGATCTGATTGGGCTAATAAAAGTGAGATGATTGAGACAGATCGAAGGTGGCAGACAGACGCCCATCCAAAGCTCTTCTTGGATACTTAGGGAGAGTGGTTTGACAGGACAGGCTGGTTAAAGTACCTCTGTCTTCACTCTGGTTTAAGAGCAGCCTCGATGGGAGTCACTCAAGTAGCAGCATATTCACTGGTTACATTGCATACATGTCAGAATGGATCGACAAAGCACTTCATCTCTCAAAGAGATCCCAGCACAAGCTGACAGAGATAGTGACAGGCACAGACTGCTGTTTGCAGGTGGGAGATGGGAAAGATATCTGGGTTTAGAACAAGGCTGACTGTGTCCGCAAAGTGGCCCTTCTAGATCAGCGGTCCCCAACCCCCGGGCCTCAGACCAGTACCGGTCCGTGAGTTGTTTGGTACCGGGCCGCGAGAGTTGAGGCTCAGGTGTGAAATGTATAGTTTTCAAGGGTTTTATCGGTTTTCAGCGTTATTTTGTTATCGTTTTTATCATTTACTCGGTTTTCCTTGGTCTTTTCACGTGTGTTATGAATAAATTTTCTTTTTTTCAGTACCGGTACTAGTTTTATTTTGTTGTATTTATCTGCGACACCTTAAAGGCCGGTCCATGAAAATATTGTTGGGCATAAACCGGTCCGTGGCGCAAAAAAGGTTGGGGACCGCTGGTCTAGATTACATTTGATCCAGATTACTAGTGAGACTACAACAGCTTTTCATTCAGAAACAAAGCCATCTAACAGAAATCGTTGGTTTATGAATATAGTCTTTGTTTAAAGTGAATATGTCAGCATTACAAACAGAATTGAAATGTCATCCCAGTAGTGTGAATTTGTTTAGGTGATGTCTAGCAGACAGCTAGCAACTGTATAGTCCCCGTTTCTGCACCAACCTGCCCGTCAAAGCTGCTACATCTCTAATAATGCATCATTTTGAACTGTAAAATAATGTTTCAGCTGCTTCCTTATTCACAAGGGTTCACCACACAGGGTTTTTATACCAGGTGTCCTTGCTGATGCAACCTTACCCCTGTGGCGACCCCTTGTGGTTAAATTGTTTCAAAATTTAAATTGTTTCATGAAGGAGTAAATAAAATATAGAAATAAAAACAGTTTTTTTGAATCAGCCTGTAAACATGTATTGTTCCTTTAAAGTCGGGCATTTTAACAGAGTCTCTGTGCACTGACTGTCTTTCGGAGGCAGCCTCAAGTGGCCATGAGAGGTACTGCATGTTGCTTGCCACTTTTGTGATGACTGGAGGTTACAGTCGGGAAGATACACATAAATACCTTACCATTAATTCAATCCAATTAGTTTAATTTCTATTCTATTCTCTTTATATAGTATCAATTGAAAAAAAAACTGCATGCATTATGCTGTAAAGACCCTACAATGTTAGAATGAAATCGCAACAATCACATGACACCCTATGAGCAAGCACCTGACAACAGTGGGAAGGAAAAACTCCCTTTCAACAGGAAGAAACCTCTCACAGAGGCAGCCATACAACGTAAAACACACAGAGAGTGAAAAGAGCCCTAATAATATGCTTTGTCAGAAAGGAAAGCTTGAAAGTTGTCTCGAGGTTGTCCGAATGCAAACTGGGAGCTGGTTCCATAATAAGGGGCCTGAAAGCTGAAGGCTCTGCCTCCCATTCTACTTTCAAATACTCTAGGAGTCACAAGTAGGCCTTGAGCCTGAGAGCAAAGCACTCTGTTAGGATAATAAGGTACTGTGAGGTCTTTAGATGTGACAGGCCTGATTAGTCAAGAACTTTACAGTTCTGTGTGTGTGTGCTTGTGTGTGTGTTTCTCAGGCTGTATTCGACTGCGTTGTAAACTCTCTCAAGAACGTCCTCAACATCCTCATCGTCTACATCCTCTTCATGTTCATCTTCGCTGTGATTGCTGTTCAGCTCTTTAAGGGGAAATTTTTCTACTGCAGTGACGAGTCCAAGACCCTGGAGAAAGACTGCAGGTACGTTTATATTACTGTTTTTATTACTGTTGTCTATTCTAACTACATCTTCCTCCTCTACTTTTTTCTCCTTTTTTTGTCACATCTTTTCAACTAATTCTGTCTGTCTTCTTGCTTTCAGGGGTCAGTTTTTGGACTACGACAGGGATGAAGTAACGGCGAAGCCCAGAGTGTGGAAGAAGTATGAGTTTCACTATGATAACGTGCTGTGGGCTTTTCTAACACTCTTCACCGTATCCACTGGAGAGGGCTGGCCAGTGTAAGTCAGGACAGCCTGCATATCATTTTCAGTAGCACCTAGATGGAGGTCCAAGTGGTTTTTTATCATTAAAGATATGAAACTAATAAATCTGATTAATTGGTGCAGAAAGAAATATTGCTCACATTTTTAGCTGACAATAAGTGCTTGAGTGTTGGAAACATTCGTGACTTTTTCAAGTTAAAATTTCCATTGGTGATTCATCCTGAAAGGCACTCATCACACCTGGAGCCAGATTGTACTGTGCAGTTTAAATGTACCTGATTTCTCCCAGATGTAATTACTGTGCATTCTGTTAATATGCAATCAAGTTTCATTGCATAGATGTCAGTCTGTCATTCTGTGCCTTAACGCCTTTGCTTGAGCTGAAGTACCACAAGCAGATTCATCGTTGTCTCTGTCAAAGGTCGTTGATGCCTGTTTGCTTTTTGGCATTTCATGTACTTACCTGAAAATGAAAAGTAGATTGCTAAACTGAGTGAGCTTGTCATGACAGCTGAAAATCACAGACTCTCTAACAAGCTGTGACAGCTCAGTAAGACCATAATCACAAGGAAGGACTCTTGATTGGTTTTATGCTAGTACATTGCACCTGTAGATACTGCAATATGAGTGATAGAGACACAGCCTTATAACCTTTTGTTCTTAACCTAAAAGCCTTAACCTAAAATGATAATGTATAAAAGAAAAAGAAAAGAAATATTATTAATAAATTAAACATAAGACGTGGAAGGAACCTCATCTGCTGACTAAAGGGTCACACATTTAAGGGTTGGACATAGGAAGCGCTGATGTTCGGCCAATAACAGATATTCTAAGCTCCAGTTGCCTAGGTAAACCTCCAATGTATTTACCATTTTTCTCATAGTCACTTCAATCGCTTGCCTCAAAGTGAAGGAAGGTTTTGTTGCTCAAAGTCGCCGAATGTCATTGACTTTCTATGGGTACTATATCCAATTGCTATGGTTACCACATCCAGTTGATTCAGTTGATGTGGATGTGCGTTTAGCCTCTGCTGGTATTGGTCAATTTTTCAAGGTTTCTGGGCGTAATCAGAATATTAACCTTTTCAAGATGGTTCTGTTTCATCTTTAAATGTGAAAATCTCTTCTGTTATTTTTCTTTTGATCCATTGGCCTGCAAGCAACCAAAACCTGCTCAAAATGCATTGTTTAGTAAAACTTGGGAATAAATCTACATCAGTTTTGAAAATGATTTTAGTCTTTCCTTCTTTTTAGTGTCCTGAAGCACTCTGTGGATGCCACATATGAGGACCAGGGCCCCAGTCCAGGCTTTCGCATGGAGACATCTATCTTTTATGTGGTCTACTTTGTGGTGTTTCCTTTCTTCTTTGTCAACATATTCGTAGCTTTGATCATCATAACTTTTCAGGAGCAGGGAGACAAGGCCATGTCGGAATGTACATTGGAAAAGAATGAGGTGAGAGTGGAAAGTGAAGCACTTTTTTTTCTTTTTTTGTGGGGGGTGTTCTGGGAAGAAGAAGAAAACACAAATTACAAAGACACTGGTAATTTCTTCAGAGACACTAGCACTCATGCCGATCCTCTTCTAAATGTCTCTTCTATACAAATCACATTAAACATGACAATTCCCTGCTCTTAAAAAGAAAGCAGCAGGGCTTATCTTCTCACTCCCTTCATCTCTTCTTCACAGGGACTTTGTGAAAACCCTGCTGTTTTCTTTCTATGATGTATTGGCTAGTGATCAGAGAACTTTAATTTGTGGTATCTTCTTTTAACATTACAAAACACTTAGAAAAGCCCGTAGTGGTATGCCAGCTGTTGTTTATTTTAAAAACTTTGAATTCTTCTCTCTGATGAAAGATATAAAGTTGTTGCATCAGAGAGTTTTCTTACCCGATCTGTTTTGTTTTGTCTTTTCAACTCTCAGAGGGCTTGTATTGACTTTGCCATCAATGCCAAGCCGCTGACGAGATACATGCCAGAGAACAAGCAGTCCTTCCAGTACAAAATGTGGAAATTTGTGGTGTCGTCTCCTTTTGAGTATGCCATCATGACTTTGATCGCCCTCAACACCGTCGTGCTGATGATGAAGGTCGGTTTTTTCTCCCACTAATGAGGCATGTGACAGTTCCCTTCAGACACCTCTGAGGCAGAGAAAGTAGTGCATTGGTTCAGCGATAGTTATGGAGTTCCCAATTTGATACAACAGACTGTTGAAAGATCAAAAAGGATTACAGGAGATGTTTTTATAAACGACCATTCAATCTTTTACTTTTAAAGGCAATAATGAAAACAACTGTGGTCTGGCATTAAGACGTACTGTTGTTTGCAACTGACTATTGACACTTTACATTACATTACTTTCTAGTTTGAGGCAAAAGAGCTTGTATTTTATCCATTTCCTTTACTCGTCTTCTAATTATTCAGGTAATCCGGGTTATCTCATCTGGTCTGAATGATTTTTTTCTGCCATTATGGAGCCATGGAAACTAACAATGAATCCTGATAAACCCTAAGTTTAGCTCTTGTTCACCTTCAAGGTCGTCTCTTTGGGAAGCTCTGAACTGCATCCTACATGGCTGTAATTTTCAGAAACCTGTCTGGAATGTCCATTCTTTTTTTTCTTTTTCTTTTTTTTTTTGCCTTTCCCGTTTGGTTCTTTAGCCATCAAAATTATTGTCTGAAGGCCGAGAAAGATGCCCCAAAAAAGAGAAAACAAGCAAAACGAGGAAACACGATAAACACAGCACCATTGCAATAACCTAGATAAGTGTAAGTAAAAGTAAATACTAAATATTGAATGTTCAAGGCATGGTTCCTTGATCTTTTGGATATCACTCTTTGCCTGGCCCTTCACCCAGGACCATTTTGCTTTGGGAGACCCTACCAGGGCTGACTCACTAGAACATGCAAAACCCTCCACCACAATGAGGTGGTGATCAGGGCTGGACTGGCCATCGGGCAGATCACGAGGATGCTCGTGATTTTTCGTTTTTATGGGCCGATGGGGTTTTATTTATTTTCTTTTCTTAACGGTATAAATGAATGGTGGTGGATTGGCCAGTTGGTCATGATCGACTCTGGGCTGGACCAATTACAGCCGAGGAGGAGGAACCCAGCGGAGGTCGCGCTAAACAACAGCAGCACGTTTAAGCTTGATCAGCTGTTGTTAGAATTTATTTAATATTAATTTCTAGTATCAGCTGATGTTTGCTGGAGCCACAGCTGTAAAAGCTGCTGGTCATGATATCGGTTTGGTTATCTGGTGAGAGGGAAACATGAAGATGAAACCAGAAGATGTCCTTACTGAATCATCAGAGCTGTGATGGAGAAACAGGTTTACCTTTTAGGTGACATGGATGAGTTGAAGGGAAGTTATGAACTGTTTCTGAGAGACAAATAACACCAGGATCCTTTTCTAAGTAGCTGACAGCTGGTAACTGTGCAGGGGCGGATCTAGCAAAGTTTTGCCAGGGGGCCAGGTAGGGCATTAACAGGGAGAGGGGGGCACAAAGAAATACTTTTCTTTCTTATTCTCATTTAAAATATCTAGCTTTTATTAAATAATTATCTGAATCTTATAACCAAAGTTTTCAAGTTTTCATCTGATGTAAAATGTATAGAAATCCATGATTGTATTCAGTAAATATCAAGTCTAGTATATACCCTAGTAAGTTATAGTATTCTTTCCTTTGGGAAGGTACCATCTGTGCAGTCTGCAATTCTGTTGAAGAAAGATGTTGAATCTATTTAATTACTGGAAAAAAATCATAGATTTCTGTGCATTTGTTTTATACGTGCATTAAATTAAAATCAATTTTGTCAATTAAGCATTGAGGCAGAGGGTACGGGAATAGTTCCCTATTTTTTTTCTTTTCTTTTTTTGCTGGGAGTTGGCAACCCTATTAGTTAGGTATATGTATTTATAAATTAGGTTGTTTTATATTTTTGCTAAGTACTGTTTAGAATACCAGAATAGGGAGGATGGTGTAGGTTTAAGTTTATTATAAAGGATTTATGGCTTTTCCTATAATACCATGGTGAGCCGGTCACTAGTCAAAATGCCCAGGCTGATTTTTTGTCCCAGTCCAGCCCTGGTGGTGATTCATGGAGGGAAACGTCAACTAAAAATGTAATTAAAATTTCCATGGAGACAAACTTAGGTGCTAGTGTTGGTGCCATATCACAGTCAATCCTCTGGGTACAAGCTGTTCCTACACCCCCCCCCCCCCCCCCCAAAAGATCCTGATTATATGGTGATATCATAGAGCAAATATAAACAGAACAGGACCATAAGAGGGTGATTAAAAAGGCATTTGAGAGGTGCACGACCTCATAGAGGAGATGGTTAGAATCTTGTTATGGGTTGAGTCCTGAAATGATTTGTTCCCAGTGAGTTCTATATTCAAAACCAAGCAGCAGCAATAATTGATCGTGTGCAGTCCTATTTTATCTCTATGATGCATGGCTAAAGAGGATTGTGGCGTCTTTATGGCAGTCTTGCATGGACTCTGCAGATACATACAATCCCATTTCAGTGTCAGTGAAATCACATGCAGTTGCAATACAAGCCTTTTCTGATATGTAAGATGTTTAAAATTTAATAAGCCAGACCTGACAGATGCAGATGTCTCTGGTGGGTGGAAGCAGTCCAGAACAGAACAGGAGTGAATAAACATGAATAAAAAGGATCTGCAGTGTTTTGGTGTTGCGTTTACAGCTGTAGTTTTCAGTATCATGTACAGAGGCTGTCTGATCCATGCATTAAGTGTGCAATAAATAACGGGAGTCAATTTTACACACATTTATTGTTAATATAATTAAAGATATTAAGGAGCAGATATTCAGTGTTTCGTGTTTCATCTTCTGCCCTCAGTTCTATGGCGCTCCAGATGTGTACGAGTCCATGCTGAAATACTTAAACATCGTCTTCACGGGCCTCTTCACACTCGAGTGCATCCTCAAAATTATTGCCTTCAATCCACTGGTGAGTTGTCTTTGTAAGTCTGTATACTGTGCTGTACTCTGCAAGCAGCTGTTGATGGTTTTGAAATGTTCCAGTTTACACTTAAAGGGTTAAGTGATTTGGTTCTTCTAAAGGTTGAGTTGATTTCAAGGTATCTTTTAGTCAGTGACAGTCTCACTTTAAGAAGACTGTATGGATCTTCTTAAAGTGTATTCATTTCAGAAAGAGGAAGAGTTAGCTAACAAAAAAAACAAAAGAGGGAGATAAACAGAAGAGTGCACAAAGGAAATAAATCTCTCAATGTGGCGCCGTCTGGCCTCCAGCGAAGCATTTCATCTTAGGCTCTATTCCATTTGCGAGGCCCATTTATTAAATAGCTTTTCTCACACACCACTTACCTCCACCTGTTTAGCTGTTAAGCCCAGATGACTGCACTCACATCTGCCATTATAAATGCTCTGCTGCCACTGTAGCTCTTCAAAAAGCAGCTGCAGGACCTGGCAGCAGCCTCTGCCCCGAGGAACAGGATGACTGACCAGTCTGAAGAGCCTCAGAAGTTGTGCAAAAGATGTGCATTTAGCATTTATGTGTGTGAATGTGTGTAATGTAGGCACATATAAAGTTGATTTGTGTGCTCAGGGAGATGGCTAGTCTTTATTCTTTGAAGTGTGCTCATTTGAATACTTTTTGTGTGCCTCAACTTTGTATCTGTGTCTGCAACTTTTTCATATCTAGATCTGTATTAAAATTTGCCCACATATTTGTGCACAGGAGACTCGTTCAAATGAGGCAGTGTAGGGGGAATGTTGCTGGAAAATGGATCATAGAATGTCTGCTTGGATTAGATGTCTTAATATGAATTTGGGAAAATCACAGTGCTGCCAGTCTGGTCAGTTTATTAAAAAGATTAAATTAAATACATAAGAATAAAGGAATAGCTCAATAGTAATAATTTATGTAATCTATAATTAAACAGGTTTTTAAACTGGCATTAGAACTTGGTTTATTGTGGTTAGAGCAGGGAAAATTATATAATAGTCAACTTTGACATATCTATTAAAAGTTCAGTTATGGATTACAATTGTTCACATCTTTTGATAATCCTGAGCTCCCGATTTTTTATTATTAGATTAAAGCTAAATTTAATATCTTATACGTTTGGACCATATTTAGAGTAGGGTGTGGTAAGTCGTCAGTTACATCTAAAAACTGAATGGAGTGCAATGGACAGATACCTCCTTATTAGTGCTAAGCATCAGGGTATTTTCATTTTGTACAATAAATATACACAAATATAACGCAGCACAAACATATGCATACACTGATCAGAATGGAGTGCCCATATTTACTTTACAAATGACACCACAAATAAACACACACACATCCACCTACACAAACACATTCACATTCACCAGACAGGTCAACCCAATTAGTTTCATGTTTTATGGTTTTCCATGACATGTGTAAATATTGTAATACTCTCAGTTTATGACTGTGAATGTGAACAAGAGCCAACTTGTAAAGCCCTTTGAATGAAGGCTCTACAATTTTTCATTTGAATGTACACTTGAAAGGGTGGAAAGCGTTTTAAAAGCAGTTAGTTATGACGAAGACACGGTATAAAATCTTTAAAGGTTAACTATAACATCCACTTTTCTTCTTTCTCTTTCTTTTAGAACTACCTGAAAGAGCCCTGGAATGTGTTTGACTTTGTGACTGTGATTGGAAGCATTACAGACATTTTGTGCACAGAGATAAATGTAAGAGTTACATTTCTCATCGCATGCACCCATGGGTCACTTCCTACATGGGTACAAAAATTCAGTGCTTGCTCATAGCTGTAGGATCACAACGGCAAAGCAGCAAAGCAGCATGCTGTGACACAGGAAGCAGATTTAGTCCAATCAGGGAAACTGTTATCACAATAATGGACTAATCAAAGTTAATATTTTGCTACAGTGGAAGTGATTTACTCTGGGCATGCAAGCGTTCAAATACTGTTATTATGATTAATCTATTTTCTATTTTTTTTTTTTATGTTTTTGTCTATAAAAAGCCAGAAAAAAAAGTTATGAAAAATACCCACCAAAGCAGCCTGGACTGTCAAAAACTCTGACAACCCAGACTGCTGATTTCACATTTTCTATTATTATTTTATTTTTTGGGGGGGGTGTTGTTGTTCAAAGTTTGAAAGTCCGAAATATCACCAATTCCTCCCAACTGTCAATTACTCATTTAGTTGCTGTTCTGACTTTCACTAAAATTTGAGCTGCTGTAGCATTAACTTGCATGTGTTTTTGCTTAATGTCAGAATTTTTTTTTTCCAGCTTCAAAATCATCAGTGTGGATGTCATGCTTTGCTGTACTCTTAGTCTCAGTCCTCGAATCAGCCAAACAAGTCCATAGAAAAAAATATGACATCATAAAAATCTATACATGAAGCAAGGGAAGCCACACGACTTGAACATTAAACTTTACAGTCTTGAACATTTAGTTTCATATTTTTAATCACAGCAGATGCAAAGTATTTGTGCGGCTTGAGGACTGAGGCAGGATACTTTAGCTTTCTGTGTTGCAAAGTCAGCTTTTGTGTGACTTTCTCTTCCTGTGATCATTAGTCTTCTTCTCTGTTTCTCTCGCTGCTTTTTTCCCCCCACTGTTTTTCATCTTCTGCTGTGTCTTTCCTGGCGCCTGTGCCCTCACTCTGCCCCTTCTGTCACATCTGACACCTCTAGACGGTAAGTGGCTTTCCTTGTTGGCCACTGATTTTGTCAGTTCCCCCGTCACCGTGTGCTGTTCTCTTCCACGGCTTTAGTTTAAAGTGTCTAACTACACCTTGAATGTGAGATGATATAAATTAAGACCTTTTAAACCAATGTAGCATGAAATGTGTGCTTTAACAGTAATCAGACCTTCTACGGCAATTACTGTTACATAAGCCCTTAATGTGAAAATGTACAGTTCAGTCAGATCCACTACAGTGAAAAGAACGTTGTTATTTCCATCAGCAGTAATTTATATTTGGCAGCCTGGCGTTTTTCTGGCACCCTTCTGACCTTCCATGTGCATACAGCCAAAGGCTGTGAGAGCAGCAGCAAAGCTCCCTGTACAAAACAGTGGCAACAGACTTGACACTGATTCAGTGTGAAAAGGAGGTGCGAAGGTGGAGGTGGGTTGCAAAGCGGTTTTCAGATGTGCAGCTACTGTAGGCAGTAACTTAAATATAGGGGTGCAACGATACTCGTATCGATACTGAACCGTTCGATACAGTGCTTTCGGTTCGGTACGCATATGTATCGAACAATACAAAATTTGTAATTTATTTTATCAACTTTCCTTCTGACGATGCTGTCTGTGTTGAGCGCTCAGTGAATCTGCGTTCGACTACTCCGCCTAGGCTGCACTGTCGAGCGCAGATCCACTGAGCGCTCAACACAGACAGCATTGTCAGAAGGAAGAGCGCAGGGCAAGCTAGCGAGACAGAAGTTAAGCTCTCCTTGCAACATGGAAAATTGAACCTCCCCCACCCTCATTCAGATCTGGCGTTTGGAATTATTTTGGTTTTCATGTGACTATGACCCTGAAGGTAAACGCGTCATGGACTAAAGTAAAACAGTATGTTGGATGTGCCACGCACTAGTGTGTTAGCGCAGTTAGCTCATTAACGTGTTGGCCGTCTAGCCCCACGCACGGAGATTTGCCGTGTTGTGGCGTTATCGTCATTTCAACGAGATTAACGCTGACAGCACTAGTGGGAACACAACGAATATGACTGCACATTTACGCCGACATCATCCTAGTGCAAAGAAAAGTGGAAGAAGACAAAAACAACAAGCATGCATGCTACAAACTTTACCCGAGTCATTTAGACAGCTGTTAGCACATGATCCTCCTTATGGGGACCTGATATGTTTAATATTGTGGCGAGCTCAGACAAGGTGGAGACGGAGGTGTCGTTTGGTCTTGCTTCCCGTGAGCTAGCCTGGGAGCACAGCCGTTTATTGACATCTGCAGAAGAACACTGCCGCTAGCTAACTGCTCAGCGCGGCAACCGCACAGCAACAACAACAACACACCGTCGCAGCGAGAGGGCGTCGTCACCCGTCACTATGGCAACATAAACAAAACATAACTGTACAAACAGAACCCCGAACAGCCCTGACCCGCTACATAGCCCCAACTAAGGGGTCAGTCGTCCCCGACGACCCCATTACCCCACACAAAGTCCTGCAAATGTCCAGGTGCCTTCTTTTGGCGCACCGGCCGGTCACGACCGGCGGGGGAAAAGTCACTCGGGTCAGAACATGGGGTGCCACCATCATCCCACTTCTGACACCAATGTGGCGAGCTCAGACAAGGAGGAGACGGAGGTGTCGTTTGGTCTTGCTTCCCGTGAGCTAGCCAGGGAGCACAGCCGTTTATTGACATCTGCAGAAGAACACTGCCGCTAGCTAACTGCTCAGCGCGGCAACCGCACAGCAACAACAACAACAACACACAGGGCGCCCTCATCGACCGTACCGGAACCGACACCCCGCATGCGCAAATCTTACGTCACTTCCTCTCTTTGCCAACATTGCGACATTCAATATATTTGAATGATACGGTTAGCGCCCAGTTAGCTCCTAGCATTTCTCAACAGCTCTGCCTCCTTTTCGACTGCCCGGGACATTTAAACAATGGATAATCCGTATACAAAGAAATTCATGCTTTTCTCCTCAACAGAGAGTCGTCCCCCGATTGAGCAACAGCGCCGTAAAATAAGAAGAATGGCGCCTAATTACAGAGTTAATAATGCAGACTTTGTAATATCTCACGTGTAGATTCATCAGCCAGATTAAGTGTTTACTGACAATTGACAGTGATAGCGCACATCATCATCACTATTCCAACAATCCTCTCCTCACAGACAAGCATAAACACACTCGACTATCGCTAAATCAGATTTAACACACGTTTGTAATGACGATAATTCAGTTTATAATAGGGTTTATTCGCTCGGTCAGCAGGTGGCGGTATCCTCGTACACTGGGGAGTAAACTGCCATTAAACGAACAGAAGAAGAAGAAAACATCTGCACATGCGCGGTACGGATCGGGTAGACCCGATTTGTACGGTCAGACTTTACACATGCGCAGTAAGGATCGGAGAGTCCTGATCCGTAACTTTCTTTTTATTTTTCGTTTTTGTCTACATTGTACTGAAATGCTTCATTATTGCAAACATTTTAAGATATACTTGTTATTCTTAACATCTTAACAGATACTCTGACCCATAACTATCGTAAAACGCTACGACCGGAAGTAGAAACCTTTCGCGCATGCGGGGTACCGATCGGGTTTCCGGTACGGATCGGGTAGTGACACGCCCTCTGCCCCCGGAAGGACACACCGTCGCAGCGAGAGGGCGTCACCCGTCACTATGGCAACATAAACAAAACATAACTGTACAAACAGAACCCGAACAGCCCTGACCCGCTACAATATGCTGCTGAGAATATAGCCCAGAAGAAGCGTATAGTATAGCTTTTATTTTGGAAAGAGCCATTTCTCTGTAATAAACTCTCTTTTCCAAAGATGAGTGATTCCTCAATCAGATTTTTTTTTAAATTACTTTTGTTTCAGCAACATTAAATTTAAAAACTGTACTTTTGAGTTAAAATATATATTTATAATTTTAATAAATGACAAATTAAAAAGGCATGAACATTTTTTTGTATCGAAAAAATATCGAACCGTGACACCAAAGTATCGAACCGAACCGAACCGTGAATTTTGTGTATCGTTGCACCCCTACTTAAATAGTGTACATCTGCTTTAGCTTTAACCAAAATCAGTTGATGTGCTTGGATTTGGGTTGAGCTATACTTCTTGGCCTGCCTTGTGTATGCTGTGTTCAGCTAATGTCAATTCATTCAGCTGGATCAGTTCTGAGCTACGAAAGGATCAATTAGGATTAGAGCTAATATAGTTTTGTACTTTCTAATTATTTTTTATTTTTATTAATATTTTGACAGTTTGTTTTTAATTCAGTTTAGTTTCAGTTAGTTTAAATTTCAGTTTTAGGTCATTATAATAACCTTGTTAATATTAGTTTGTCTGTATTGCTTCTAGATTATATCAGATTTATCAGTATATCATCCCACTGATCCATTTTTTTACTTGCTTAATCAGTTCAGGGTTGCAGGAGGACTGAAACCTACCCTAAAAGAGCATAGGATGGATGTCTAAGAGAGTAGTGGTTAAAAGTCTTTGGCAACCCCTCATTTCTTTGTATTCTGCTTCCAGGGAGACAGACATTCTTGTCAGTTTTAAAAGTGGCTTTGAGCAATAGTTTTGCAACCTTTCTGGAGTTCTCTCATAGTTCTTCTTTTGACTTTGGCTACTCTGTCACGCATTTTTAGATGTGTCCTTGTAACTGATTTTCAGGTTAATGATGCTAATTGTTATTTATTTATTTACTCTTTCTGCTATTAGATCAACTTGTACATGGTTAGTTTGGAGAACATTAAAATAGAGTTTTACTGTAAATCTCAGTACGCATTTTTTCCCTCTAGCAAAAACAAAACAAAAAAAACTGAAATCGTCTACAAAAATGTACTGCAGTATGCTACCAGCTTAATAAATTATTAATAAAAATATCCTCAAATCTGTTACATAATAACAGATCATTTGTTTTTCTTTCCCAGAAAGAAAAAATCAACCTGAGTTTCCTGAGGCTGTTCAGAGCAGCTCGTCTCATCAAGCTTCTGCGACAAGGCTACACTATTCGCATCCTGCTGTGGACATTCGTTCAGTCGTTCAAGGTAAGGAAAAAACTGAGTAACATAGAAACATTATAAACATCCGAGTTAGAGTCTGAAGCATCTCGGTAAGTGTGTAAACTTGCAGAAAGAAACTGTAAATTTGGAAAGACACACGGGCTGGCAATCTGAGCCAGATTTATTTGCTCTTGCATGAAAGTATATCTCATACAATACAACTAGTGGAATAAAGGGCTCAAAAAACAGGCCTAGGCATGCTTTTTCCTGTTCAAATTGAACAAAATAGCTCTCAGCAGACAGCAGTTTAGATTTTCACACCGTGCCAGTTTTGTTCTCTAAATCCCCTGGGACAAGTTGAGTTAAATGTGGAGCGCTGGGGCCACAGCACAGGGAATTTATAGCAGCTTTAATGTCAGTGGTGAGAGCTTTTAAGCCCAATGAAAATGGACAGTAGCTTCAGAGTGTTAAAAGGTGGCTATTTAATTACAACAAATGTTCGCCGCCTTCTTGCAGCCATATAAATAGTTGGTTGAAAAGAATCAACCCAGCAGGTCAGGTTCGTTGCTCGGGTTCTTAAATAAATACTGTAAAATGTTAGAAGGGTGCTTGTTGCTCTGTAGAGAATCCGATTTATGAGTGTGTACGTGCATACAAACACAGAGGAAGAGATCAAAGAGGCGCTGTGCCCCATGTGTGTCTGGGTGTGTATAAAATGGATATTGTTGGTGCCATGCAGTATATGAGTGTGTTTAGACTGTATTCATGTGTATGCTTTCAGGCCCTGCCATATGTCTGCCTACTCATTGCCATGCTGTTCTTTATCTACGCCATCATAGGAATGCAGGTAAGTCATCATGTGCATAAAGCACATCTGAATTTCATGATTCGATGAAATATGCCTTCTGCAACGTGAAGATTTCCCAGTAGCCTATCAGTGAATGACCTGAGTGGGTGTGACTACACATTAGCTTGTGTTTAACTGGCATTTCACCATTTCTCTTAATTTGATGTCCAGTATAGCGATTGGCATCATTTTAACCAAATGCTCTGTATAAAAGATGGATGTATAGTAGCTACCAGGAATTTACCCGTTGGTTAGTGGATTCATTTTGTTTTATGGTCATTGCCATCTTGGTTTTTGAAGCCACAGTTGACTACATTTAGACCAGCGTGAATTTATCAGTCAGCAGGCCTGGTTAGCACTCATAGACTATATTGGGGAATCAGATACCATCTAATTAATGATAAGTGAAATATAAATTTAAAGCATTTCCTCCACTAAAACAGGTCCACAAACTTCCTAGACTGGCTTTTGGGGTAATTAACTGCACAGGAAGTCATTTTCAGAAATAGTTTATCTCACAGTGGGAAAATCCTTTTGTCACAGCAGTTAAAAACACACCAAACATATGATAAACACCTAAAATAAGTACATTGCAGCTTGATAAAACCAAATGTATAATTATCTTAACATGAAAAACTCCAAAAAGAGAGCTCACTTTTTATAGATATTAATTTTGCTTAGTTTGCTGCTTTTAAACTTGCTGTCAGAAGTTTCTAGTGCAGTAAAAAAAAAAAAAGAAAAGTACAAATTCCAGGTTTTTCTTATTTACTCTATTGAAAGCCATTTTAATCTACCTGACATATAGTAAATCTCCTTGTTTACTAAAATTCACTGAAATGTTTAATAAAAAAATATAAAGGGGAAAAAAAATTTAATCATAGTTTTTTTTTCTGCTGATTTATTTATTTTTAGTTATTTTAACATTATACATTAAACATTAAAATTGTTATGTATTTAAACAGTGATGCCATAGTATAGGAATGGGATTTTTATAATTTCCCTATAAAAACACTGTCAGTAAGAAACACAGTTTTAAATAGCTCTATATAGAATTATTATCGTTTTGATGTTTAGATCAGTCTATTGACTGATCTAAGCAGGGGTCAGAGGTCAAATGTTACATGATATTTTAAATCTTTACACACCGCGCTTGTAAGAACTTTGTAAGAGCTTTTTGTCCATTTTTAACCAATAAATCATCAATCAGTAAATCATTCAAGTAAGTCATTAACCCCACTCTACACTTCTACAAAGTTTGATCTGAATTCATCCAAAACTTCACACGCGGTATCGTGTTTACAGACAGAATGACACGTGACCACTTTTGATGCTTCAAACCACTATTAAAAACCTCGTGGATGCAGGTGATGAGTTTAAAACGACTCTTAACTGAAAATAAAACAATTGAATATTTCTAAGTCAACGAAGCAGAAGAAACAATAAAAAAAATTTCTTCCTAAATGTTCCAAAAAGTTCAAAGCAAATACCAGCTGACATTCAGATGGCTCAGTGTAACAGTGTGGCAAGCAGTGCAGTGCAATGAAGTGATGTCGTGTGTGCTACAGTAAGTGTTATGACAGCGCAGGGCTGAGATAACCTGTTAGCATGAGAGAACAGATGAATCTCTGCTAGACAGATGTTTGGAACTACGCAGAGTTTTTGCTTCTTTATTTCTGCTCTAAAGTTTGACGATTTGAAATACTTGCATGTGGAAGTCAGTCACAAGGAACATCAAGGAACTGCAGTTTGTAACACTTCAGCGTGACACTTCATTTTTCAGCCACTGACGCTGCAGCTTGAATATAATTGATTAATAGTCGTTGTTGACTGCAGACTAACAGAACTTCTGTGCTGGATAAATGCTACCTTCCCAGATGTTTCCTGTGTTCTTTAAATTTAATGCATTTTGTCATGTACAGCAACCACAAGAAAAATGTGTCTGGCATTGCTATATGACTGTTTTCTACACTTTTGATACAGTCCTGGTAAAGATATTACATTATAAACTTAAGCACAGACTAAATGTGTTTTCAGAGTGGATTATTCTTTATTTTTGAGGCAGCTGATATAAAGGATTCCAATATGTTTTTCCTGAAAAAATGGATGGACAAGATGCTACCTGCATAGGTGACTGCTATCGCGGGTCTCCTGGGTGTAGCAGCTGGTGTTTATAGGTCAGCAGGATGGACTTGCCAAGAGGCAAATAAATATTTTAAAAAGGCCTCTGGGATGTTTTATTGGACTGACACCAGGATAACCATGAGTTATGACAGCTATCTACTCTCTTTGTGTCTGCCGTTCAGTTCCAGTTCAGGTCAGAAATGGTTTCCTGGAACGACATTTGCATTAAACTATGCTGACATAGCATAAATGAGTAATGCTTGAGATAAATTATAAGCCTGTATCTGCACAATGTATGCAATAAGTAGTTGCAATGCACGCAACATTACACAGTTAATGACAGATAACGCATATACACAAAGAAGGAAAATTAGCTCTAGCTTTATTGGCTTACAAAAGCAGTTTGTACAAGGCCACAATATAATTATATTTCATATTCAAATTACATCCATAAACCACTGTTTATGGCATCCATTAGTACCTATTATATTCAGTGAAGAAACTTAACAAAGACAGAAAGGGCCACACTGGGAATTATAAGTATACTGTTTATTGGCAGATTATAATTTAATGCGAAACGCATTTTCAACATTTCTACAATGTGACAACAACTGGGGCATTTAATATAAATAATGCATTATATATACGGAAAAGAGAGGGACATAGTTTTACATGTAAGTCTTACATAGCAATGTCACAGGTCTGAACACAGCAACTCAGTGTAGGGCGGGAAATGTATAATCTCCATCCAGCTGAGCCTTCTGCTGTGAAATCGGCCGAAGCCTCATGTGCTTATTTGACTTTGGGTTATAATTCATAAATCTCTTACCAAGTATATTTCTTACAGCTAATAATATAACACAGGTTTTTATAAAGGACCAGAGTAAGACTGAGAAAAAGTGCTTTTCAACGACCTTGGTTTGTACTACAGGGGTTTCTTATAATCTAAATTATTGGGTTAAAAACAGTTCACATAATCTATAACACCTCCTTTGTTGCTGCAGGTGTTTGGTAACATTGAGCTGAATGAGGAGAACGCCATAAACCACCACAACAACTTCCAGACCTTTTTCCAGGCCTTGACCCTTCTCTTCAGGTAACCCTGCTTCCATGCTCTAATAGTTCTGGCAGCTCAGATAATCCAATGATTTTGGGTCAAACTAACTCAAGCACTCACATTCACTTTTCACTCCTGTATCTTTACTTGTGCATCTTTCAGGAGCGCAACAGGCGAGGCGTGGCATGAGATCATGCTAGCATGCCTCAGTAACCGGCCGTGCGATAAGCTCTCGGGAACTGCAGGAGACGAGTGTGGCAGTGACTTTGCCTATTTCTACTTTGTCTCCTTCATCTTCCTCTGCTCCTTTCTGGTAAATACCTCGTCCTACTGCGTGTTTTCATCGACATACGTTTTCCAGACGTTTAATGTTCTTATTCTGAAAGTCTCAGAAGAATGCTGCAAGTAACAGCGAGTTAAAGAGAACAATAGGAATTAAATGTAAATGAGGTGCTGCTGAGGAGACAAACCCCTGTAGATAACAGTCTGTTTAACTGCTTTTTATGCTCTTTTCATAAATCTAATTCAGTGACACAGACAAATACATTCATAGAACATTTTTATAAGACCTGATTATTGCCTTTAATAGCCCAGTAGTGTTGCCATTATGAGGCAATAAAGTTGGTAGCAAAGCTAATTTTGAACTCTCCAATTTATACAGAGAATGGATAAAATTAAATGCATGCATAACAAAATGTTATCTAGTAATATAAATATGTGTTTTTTAATGAATGTGTAAAGCATTCCTTTAAAGAAGAATGCATAGGCTATATAATCACCACAGTACTGTGCAGTTTAAAAAAAATAAAGTTTAGGTAATGGGTTAAATTAATACCAATGTTCCTATTAATCAACATGTATGCAATTTATTTCACTTTACTGTGATGTCATTTACCAGATGTTGAACCTCTTTGTTGCGGTCATCATGGACAATTTTGAGTACCTTACCAGGGACGCCTCCATCCTGGGGCCTCATCACCTTGATGAATTCATACGTGTGTGGGCAGAGTATGACCCTGCTGCTTGGTAGGAGCCTTTTCTGACTTTGCTACATTTTACTCCCCAGTGTTAGGAAGTGGTAAAGGTGGTTTTCATTTGAAAGGAAGCCAAGTTAGGAAGCAGAACAGTCTCAGATTGACTTCTGTGTCTGAGCTTGAGCCCAGAGTTTGGGCTGAAGCTGGTGACAATCCCCTCTTTTGGTTGGACTGATGCATGCAAATCCAGAGTTCCACTCGGCGTCCACTCAGCTCTCCTCGCTGATAAGCTCCAAAGCGACTCAGTCTCTCACTGTGGTGTGAAGAGAGACTATTTCTAGCTATCCAGTTGGGGAATACAGGTTCATGCCACGACCCTCGCTACTCTTTACACCAACCAGAAGCAGTTTACCTTTAATAAAACACTATAAAAGTTTTGAGTGAGACAGTAATCTGTCTCAGATTATGAAAGGCTCCTTAAGTTTTAACGAAAGCTTCACAGGAGCCTTGTCAGTGAGTCGGGACTCCAGGAGAGATGAGAAATATGAAATTATCATCACCTGACAGACATTACGGGGGAGGAAATATTATTTATTCCTTTGAATATAAATGAGCTGCTCTCAGAAGTGCCTACAGTAACATTCAGCTTATTCTCCACTGCTACAACTTCTCTTTATGTCAGTACATTTAAAGCTTATTGTTTTCAGCTTTTATCAAAATTGGTGAGATCCACCTCTCGCCACCGGTTACGATATTCTGTATCCCTCCACAGTGAAACCAAGTTGGAAGTCCAGAGTCCAGCTTGTGGGGGAAATTTAAAATCAGGCTTTTGATTTTTATTGAAAAACTATGATCATCTTTAATGAAACATGTCACTATCAAAACACAATTCAACTACTTTTTGAACAAAAACAAAAATCTATACTCACTGAATTCCTGAAATTAAAACTGAACATCAGAATCGGGAGGAGAAGTGATACAGTGGGATGCAAAAGTTTGGGCAACCTTGTTAATAGTCATTATTTTCCTGTATAAATCGTTGGTTGTTACAATAAAAAATGTCAGTTAAATATATCATACAGGAGACACACACAGTGATTTTTAAGAAGTGAAATGAAGTTTATTGGCTTTACAGAAAGTGTGCAATACTTGGTTAAACAAAATCAGGCAGGTGCATAAATTTGGGCACCACAAAAAAAGAAATGAAATCAATATTTAGTAGATCTGCCTTTTGCAGAAATTACAGCCTCTAAACGCTTCCTGTAGGTTCCAATGAGAGTCTGGATTTTGGTTGAAGGTATTTTGGACCATTCCTCTTTACAAAACATCTCTAGTTCATTCAGGTTTGATGGCTTCTGAGCATGGACAGCTCTCTTTAACTCACACCACAGATTTTCAATAATATTCAGGTCTGGGGACTGAGATTCCAGAACATTGTACTTGTTCCTCTCTATGATGCCTTAGTGGATTTTGAGCAGTGTTTCAGGTCGTTGTCTTGTTGAAAGATCCAGCCCCGGCGCAGCTTCAGCTTTGTCACTGATTCCTGGACATTGGTCTCCAGAATCTGCTGATACTGAGTGGAATCCATGTGTCCCTCAACTTTGACAAGATTCCCAGTCCCTGCACTGGCCACACAGCCCCACAGCATCATGGAACCACCACCATATTTTACTGTAGGTAGCAGGTGTTTTTCTTGGAATGCTGTGTTCGTTTTCCTCCATGCATAACGCCCCTTGGTATGCCCAAATAACTCAATTTTAGTTTCATCAGTCCACAGCACCTTATTCCAGAATGAAGCTGGCTTGTCCAAATCTCTGAGACAGCTTTCTTTCCTTCCCCTAAACCATGATGGTGAACAATCTTTGTCTTCAGGTCATTTGAGAGTTGTTTTGAGACCCCCATGTTGCTACTCTTCAGAGAAAATTAAAAGAGGAGAGAAACTTACAATTGACCCCCTTAAATACTCTTTCTCATTATTGGATTCACCTGTGTATGTAGGTCAGGGGTCACTGAGCTTACCAAGCCAATTTGAGTTCCAATAATTAGTTCTAAAGGTTTTGGAATCAATAAAATGACAACAGTGCCCAAATTTATGCACCTGCCTGATTTTGTTTAACCAATTATTGCACACTTTCTGTAAATCCAATAAACTTCATTTCACCTCTTAAATAGCACTGTGTGTGTCTCCTATATGATATATTTAACTGACATTTTTTATTGTAACAACCAACGATTTATACAGGAAAATAATGACTATTAACAAGGTTGCCTAAACTTTTGCATCCCACTGTATAAGTCAATTTGAACATTGTTGTTGGTGCTAAAAATGCTGGTATTTCAGAAACTGCTGATCTCCTGGAATTTTCTCTCTCAACCATCTCTAGGTTTTGCAGAGAGCGGTCTGAGAAAGGGAGAACATCCAGTGAGTGGCAGTTGTCTGGGTGAAAACAGCTTGTTGACGCCAGAGCTCAGAGGGAATGGTTAGATTGGGTCAAACTGATAGAAAAGCAACAGTAACTCAGATAACCACTTGTCACAACCAGTATGAAGAATATATGTTATGCAGAAGATCTTCCCTGGTGGGAACACAGGAGAACCTTGAAGAGATGGGCTACAGCAGCAGTAGACCACACTGGATGCCACTTCTGTCAGTTATCAGTTCACACAGGCTCACCAAAATTGGACAACAGAATATCATAACTAATAAGCAGCCAATAAGTGTATATAGTTGTACTGACAAATTTGTAGCACCAGCAGCTTACAGAATTTATGCCACATTGCACATTTTTAATTCTCCCCCCCCCCAAAAAAAAATCCACTGATGTATAAAAAAGAGAAGTGTAAAACAAACTGAACAATGAAGATCCTGTGCTGTATTTGTTTTTCTTCTAACTGCCTCTTCTTGACAGTTATTCGTTAATGTCCACTGACTGATAATAGATCAATATGAATAGATCAAATGGAATAACCTTTAACCTAACCTCTCGAATATGTCTCATCTCTTTCAGCGGGAGAATATGCTATCGGGATATGTACAAATTGTTGCATTTTATCTCGCCTCCTCTGGGCCTGGGGAAGAAGTGCCCCAGCAGGGTGGCTTATAAGGTTTGCCCTCCCCCACAGTCCTTTTGTTTTTTAAGGGACTGTGATGGTTTCAGACTGTCAGTGTCTCTTCTCATTCACTGGGGTGCCAGAGAATGACCTGAACACACATGCATACAAATGCTCATCGATCCTCCACTAACCAGCCGGCAGGTAACCATGGCGAGTGCAGGAAACAACGCAGCATGTCAGCCTCAAACGGAAGGCATCAGATGCCATGTCTAAGATATTTTCCTGCTTCTAAACACAGGAGTGAAAGAAGAGTGACGACGAGAGCATTGTGTGCTTTGTTTCCACTTTGGTTACTGCTGTTGTCTCTTAGCATGCAGAAAAAGAGTGCATGTTAAAGGAATACTCCACTGAACATCTCGTTTTTGATTCATAAGCACCAACTTAAGAGGTGAAACTGAAAAATTTAAAGCTTTAGATCAGACACATTCATAGATGTTAAGTTTCATGGCACCTAAGGAGCCCTGGACGTCATCAAAACTGTTGATTTCAAATTTAAAATCAATTTTGAAATGTTCAAGTACCCATTTACTCTTGGCTGCATAAATGACATTAAGCTCACAAAAAACTATCAGACTTTATCTAACAACTTGCTAATAAATTTGATCTGTTAACTATAATTTTAGCCAATTATTCTATCCATCTGTTCTGCTTAGGTGACAATTATTTATTTAAAGTCATATATTTAACGTAATGTTTCATTTATCTCTCATTTGCAAACAATTTCCATCTCTATAGTTTCTATCCATAGTTTTAGGTAATCATGTCCAATTTTTCATTAATAACCTTATTTAGCTATTTTAACCTTATGTTTACCTTATACATGTCTCATCTAACAATTAATCTTTTTTATCTGTAAAAGATTATTTAGCTAAGATGTTTTCTTTTCAGTTTACATACTTTTAGCTACCAATAGCAACTGCTGGCAATGTTTTTAGTGAAAATGTTTTTAATTACTTTTTGATCATTTTTTAAAATCTGTTTAAATAATTTATGCATTTATTTTGGTAGTCCATAACAGCTGCTTATCCATTACTCTTTGGTATCTTCATAGTTGGTGCTATTCAGTTGATTTGTGCACACATGAACACAATAGTTGTGCTCAGGCAGATCAAAACCATAGAAACACTAAAACCCTTGGATTGTCCCAAATGCACTCTAGAGACGTTCTGTTATGGTGAGAACGTGGCCCGACCTCGATCTGACTCAACTACCAGCTGTATGCTACAGGTTTGAGCTAAACGCTGTAGCTATATAGCCATAAATGTATGTATCATGTGATACAGCAGAGTAGCCGGGTCAACTGAGTCAGACTGGAGTAATCCAGCTCTAGGTATGAGAACATCTTAACTCTTCCACTACACTTGTTTATTTTTTAAGACTAGTTTAGTAAATCTCTTCACGTGCGCCCTGGCTACTGCAGAAATACACCCTGTCAACTGTTTGTACCGCTGGTAATGGCCACTTCAGATTATGATTTATAGATAATATATTACACTTACCCAGAATTATGGAAAAGAAGAAAGGAAGTACACCAAACTATTCTTATAAATGTCTTCAGGTACTTCTGCATTTATTTAAATAATATAATATAATGTCATTGCAGCTTTTGTAAAGTAGCCTTCAAACTTTCTACATTCGCCTTTTAAAAATTTGTTACAGGCAGTAATATTTACTTGAAACAGATTGTTTTTTCAAGGAGTATTCCTTTAAAGAAAAATGTACTCAGATTTGTTAAAGCATACCTTCCACTGGGAACCCTTCATCTTTGTACAGGCAATCCTCTGGATCATCTTCCCCTCCTTCCTTCTCTGGAATCCATTCCTGAATCTGTAAATTCAACTAGGATGGCATTCCTGGTCATCATATCCTGGAAATCTTATTAACAAGGATTTCTGTGTTTCCTCTCCCTTCTCTTTTTTTTTTTTTTTGGTTTGGCCACTTTCTGTTATAACTTCCCATTCTTTTTTTACCACTCCACCTCCTCACCTGGGGAAACTTCATCCTTCCTTCCATGGTCTCCTACCAACCTTTCCCTGACAAGTGGCCGCATAGCTTACCGGGATATGTACGAGATGCTTCGGGACATGTCCCCTCCACTAGGTTTGGGAAAGAAATGTCCGCCCCGAGTCGCCTATAAGGTAGAATCGCATCTTCCTCCTTCCTTATCCCTTCTTCCTGCAGCCACCGCAGGTTGCCTGTGCTCACCTGTCAAACATCTTCAGGCTTCTGTCAGTGTGTCAAAGCTGATATCTTCTGGCCTGCTGTTCTGATGTTCTTTCTGTGTACTTGTGTGGCTCTCTGGGCTTGTCCTGTTCTGTGAGGGTTTTCTGTGCATTTTGTTCGTCTGCTCTAGAGGGCCAGGCAACAGTAATAAATAGAAATAAATCAGGGAGATGAGGAAAGCATCATATTCACAAATTCTCCATTGGAAAATAGGAGGTATTGGTTATTAAAATGGCATCAGCATCAACTAAAATATGTTTTTTTCTGTTTGATAGTTAAACCTGTCGTTACTTTCTATGTTGACACCACATTATGTATTCTGCAACTCCACAGAGCTTTTGCTTATTGTTTTGGTTTTATGGCTGTCTTGGCACCCCTGTTTCCAGCAGCAGGTTGCTGTTTTCAGTGAACACGCTCTGCTAAATCCACTGTACACCATCTGCCAAGCACCAATTAACAGAAAAATAAAGATAGCGACTAGCTTGTGAGGAAAGAACATCTAGCCATTTGGATGAGACATTTTTCTCAAGGATTAGTGGAGACTGAACACCATTTATGAACTTAATGCATGCCATTCTGTGATTTGGTCAAGTAGCAAGTAACAGACAACCTGTAGGATAATCCAGCTGTGGGTCATCTGCATCTGGAAATGTTTGGTTTAAAAGAAAAAAGGGGTGCAAAGATCCACACAAACACTCAGTGAATAAGAGAACGGGTTGTTCCCCAGACAATTATTTTGTTACTTTGGAAATACTGTTGATGTCTGTAAGATCAAGAAAATACCTTTAAAGATATACCCCACAGATAAATGGTAAAAAAAAAAAAAAACCTGGTGTTTTGATTATCTGCCAGGTTTCCAAAAGGTCTTAAGGGATGACAACATCCAGATAAATCACCATTAAATTAGATTTCTTTTCCTGATGGCTTTGGTGAAATCCGGTTGACACTTTATGTTCATATAGAGAAAATTGTACCAGATTTGGTGATTTGTTAAACCATAGCCTCTTCACTCAGCACGCGAGCTTTGTGCTTTGCGCTGTAGCACAGGAACAGAGCGGGAGGGAGAGAGAAAGAGAGCCAGGGAGAACAACGTCACATTAGAAAGGTATAGTAATCATCCACAACTATTTTCAGTTGCAGATGATAAAGGATTCAGAAAGTCAGTCATGCAGGCCCATATGACAGAGAATATGCATGTTCTTTTTGTTTTCATATTATAATTTATATTTAATTGTGTTGTGGTTTGAAGTGTTATGTGGTGTCACACTAAAAATGTGTAAAAGGAAAAAGCTGAAAATTTAAATAGTTAAAAGTTGAAATCTGAATAGCTGATTTTTGTATTATATGATTTATTTATTACATTTTATGTGGAGTGAATAAATAAAAGTATATTTACGGTGGCCCCTAGAGACAAAGCACGTACGAACTCCAAAACACGTAAAAACTCAAAACACGTACAAAAGAAAACAGAAGAAAACAGAAGCTTTTGTTACCTAGTGGCTACACAAGCCAGCAAGTACCAACGACCGGATTTGGTGTGTGGTAGTAACAGGTGAATTAATTTTTTTAAAATTATTTGAATATATATGAGTGCCTGTGTATAAATACACAAACAATACACACATGCTTTCAATTATGTAATTTAAGTGATCTAGTAGCTCTGTTTTGAAGTTCAGTTAACGCTAGAAATGTGTTTTGGAGTTTGTACATGTTTTGTCTCTAGGGGCCACCGCATATATTTATACATATATAAATAGTAAAAAAAAGTAATTCCTTTTGTGCATAATTTTATATTATTGTTAATAATAAATTAATTAAAGCAACAAAACAACCCGAAGAGCCGGTTTGGAGCTGAAAGAGCCGGTTCTCTAAAAAGAGCCGGAAATCCCATCACTACTGGTTTATGAAAAAAAAAAATTGTAAAAAAAAGAGAGAATATTTAGCGATTTTTTTCTTGAAGGATCCCATCTGGATTCATGTGCTAAAAAGGATTTATTGAAGAATCTCTCATTCCTGCAAAATGAGTTATTTTAAAACATTTTCACCATCATCTTATCACTGAACGGAATAAAAGAGAGCCTTTCCCATGTGTCCTGTGATTAGAACACCTTTTATCCTTCTCAAGTGGGAGTCAAGTATATGTATATACCTCGACAATCCTCAGGTAGTCCCTGTGCTGGCTGCTAACCTCTTAGCATGCAGACTTAATGTGAGTGGTTCCAGTATGTGCGCAACTGTCGAAATGAATCAGATTTAAAGCAGCCCTGCCCTTGCCCCAGTTAAAAATGTCTGGGTCTGACGTGGCTGCATCTCCAAATATAACTCTTGTTTTTGTGAATCGGAAGGGAAAGACATGAACAAAGCGAGAGCAGCGGTCCACTTGAGAGCAAGGCTAGCATTTTTATCTTTCCCATTTCCATTTTTTTCTATTTCTTCACTCCCACCACTTTGCTGTTGATCACACTCTTTGTTAACCTCCCTTTGTTTCTAAAGAACGCGTTATCATCCTAGTCACAGTTGTCCCTGTTACCCGTTAGTTTACACTTTTATGTTCTGACTTTAGGCAAAGCATCACTCTCCCTTTTGACATTGTATCCTCTCTGAGGATTTCTTTTTCTGTCTATATGTGCAGCTTATGTCTTTGCACGTATGTTTTCTGCATAACAGCATCTAGCACCTTTTTGATGGTGTGTTTCTTCATCTTGTGTCTTCAGCTTTTATTCTTATTCAGTCTGTTTCTGAGAACTACAGAAGCAAGACTTCATATGTGTCAATGTTTTCTACAGTCCAGGCACTAACTCCCCCTCCTCCTCCTCATTCCCCTCTTACTCGCCTCTAATCGCTCCATCTCTTCATCTTCTTTCTGTATATCTGTGTTGTGTCCATTTCACTTGAAGAAAGTGAAAACCATCAATTATAGCTTTACTGTTTTTCTGCTGTCTCTGAACTTTCTCCAGTTGCAGTTCAAAGTCATACATGCAATACATGCATGTTTCCACCACCCCTATTATATATTCATCAATGCATGTGTACATGAATCATTGCATTGCTGCACTGGCATGGATTTATGCTGGCTGGTTTCTTCTTTTTTACAATGGATGAAAAATTAATTCAGTGAACGTTCTTTAAAATGGTTGTTTGTTTTTTAAAATTTGATATTTAGCGCTGCCAAGCAATTGCTACTAATAGCAATTTTAAATACTTTTTAATTTGAAAGTATTGAGAGTGGACCTGAAGCTTGCATTGTAAGTGCCAATTTTGTCTAGATTTCTAAATACAATCAATTTTGAACAATATGAAACAGAGAAAAGCAGCAAATCCTCAGAATCTGCCATTAAACTATTAAAAGTAATAATCAATGTCATCATTAGTTAATTAGTTTATTATGTCAGCAAGGCTTTCCAGAACTAAGTGAAATTTAATTTCTTTTATGCTGGTGCAGTGACCTGTTCTTTCATGTTTTAAGACAAAGAAACTTATCATTAAAAAAAGGTTTGGAAGCCAGCTGATTGGAAATGGTTGACTGGTTTAAACCAACCAATATTCTCATTTTGATGGTGCTGGCAAATTGAAGTTGTGGAAGCTGTATTATAAACAAATTTCCAATTTAAATAGATTCACATTGTTCTCACATAGAACAATAATAATTTATCACTGTAATCAAATGGTGCTCTGGATTCTTTATTTAGAAAATAGAACCATTACAGGTTGGGTGTGAACAAGTAGGAGAAAAATACAGAGTGAAAGTTGGTGCAGTTTTTAATTTTACTAAAATTTGACTTGGACTTTTTTTCCTTATTGAAAAAAAGTATCTATTGTAATGTAACTATAAGGTAATTTAGCCCTAAAGTGATGGAGGACAAGTGAAACCACAGAACCATAGAATGTATATAAAAGATGGATGTAGTGCCTTAAACCTGCATTCTTTCCTGTGACCACCAGGGGGAACTCCTATGAATGCAAAAGGAAGTGTGTCATCTCAAACACTGGTTTCAGTCAGGTCTGCTACTCAGTCATCCAGTTTTGAAATGGCAACACGGCAACAGCAAAATTGCTGAGTTTGAAGTTTCACAAAAGAATCTCATTAACTGTTGAGTGATAATGGCTATGTATAAGTTTTATGTACAGTCTATGGCAAAAAAGCATTTGAATGCTCAGATAAAATTAATGTGCAGCTTCAGTGAAAGTTAAATACACCAAGCGAGGACCTTTTTTGTGTATTTTTTTAAACAAAATTCCCCATCTTCTGTTCCTTGCTCAGTGTTTTTAGGACATTATAGCAGGAATAAACCCCACAGACCATAAGCACATAGAAAATACCGGCTTGATTTTTATCTTTTGCAGCATTTTCAGCACATTAACATTTTGATGGTTGGTTTTTCTGTCAAACTGATTAAAGAGCTGCGTGCCAACCAGCGACCTTTCCTTTCTCCTCCTTAAGTGACTATTTCGAGAACGAAGGACATGCTGCTGCATGTTTCCAGCAGCAGCAACAGCAGTGAAGGCTCACAGTGCTTAGCATTATAAGTTAATCATATTTTCGGTTTTTGGAGAACTGTGCCACGTAGCAGTCTCGTAGCAACGACAGCAGCCATAAACGGCTCTGTTTACTGCTGTTAGGTTGTGGCAAAAAAGGGTGAATCTTTATTTGGATGGACTAAAATAATTCAAAGTGATGACTGATTTATCTTTTTTCAAATATTTTTTTTTGCATTTTTACTTTAATTTTACAGTAAACATAGGAGTCAAAAATTATTTTATTAACCTCACCCCAAATATTTACTCTTTTACTCACTAACGATTCTCTAGTCGATGCATTTGCTGCATTTTTCTGTTCTATCTTTTGTGATGGGCATCTCTTGTCTATATGTCTATATTAAATAACATAGTCATGAATCATTATTTGCTGCCACAGCATGTAACTGTAGATCATCATACCAGTTAATGAAAACAAATCTTTGTTGTTCTGGTGTTTCTTAATCTTTTAAAATGAGATATATCCAGCATTGATAAGCAATCCTTTAATTTGTTGTGTAGCGATTGGTGAAGATGAACATGCCAATTGCAGATGACAACACAGTGCATTTCACCTCCACCCTGATGGCCTTGATTCGCACAGCCCTGGAGATCAAGCTGGCATCTGGTGAGACTAAAACTACAAAAGCCAGAATCCCTTGCAGCTGCCCTGACAGCTTTGATGTGAATGTGAATGGCGCTGAACTCTCTGGTGCAGATGCGATGTGACATGTTTGTGGGCTCATCCTCAGGCTTGCTGGCACAGCGTTTGTGCGATGCTGACCTGAAGAGGGAAATAAACCGAGTGTGGCCCAACTTGTCACAGAAGACCATGGACCTGCTGGTGACGCCGCATAAATGTGAGCTACAGCTGTGTGTGGGTTTTGATGGGATTTACTAGTTCTTGCTGGTTATATGGTTTTTATTTTTACTCACTTTACCTTTTAAGTTTTGTTTTTGCTATGGCTGTTTCCTTCTATCTTATCACTCTTGCTTGAGCTTGAAAGTTAGGCTAGATTAAAGAAAACAAACAGTTTAAAATGATAAAATAAATTCTGTTATTGAGATATACAGATTTTAGTTTTTAAAGTAAAAAAAAGGTGTCTACTGTGGTGAGAACATTAAAGAGAAACACATCTGTTGTGAAGACATACTCGCCATAAAAAGTTAAAAATCACTGTACGGTTACCTAGTCACTAGTGGACTGTGTACTAACTACTTCATAAGATGAGTAGTTTTTGTTGCCGTGTGTTTTCTTTTGTTTTGCTCGAGTAATCCTGCTGCAAACTGTTGCAGTCTCACCCCCGAGTTGCTGCTCCTCTGTCGCCATCTGCTGCTTACTTGGAGGAACTGTCTCTCACTTGTCTCTTCTAGATAACGAGCTGACTGTGGGGAAAGTCTATGCGGCTCTAATGATCTACGACTTCTATAAGCAGAATCGTGCTAAGAGACTCCAGCAGCAGAATTCTTCAGATGGACCTCAGGTACATCACGAAGCAAAATTCAGCCATGCGTTATTATCTCCAGCTCACTTCATCCAGTTAGAAAAAATCCTAAGCAAATGAGACTATTTGGTCACACCCATTGTCTGCCTTGCCCTCACTGGTTGCACCTGTTTCGTGTTTGTTCCTTGTGCATTTATAGTCCCCTGTTCCCCTGGTTAGATGTCAGTCCATCTGTTTAGCAGCCTGTGTACCCTCTTCTTTATCCAACCTGTTTGCGTCCCACTGTGTGTTCATCTCCATTGTTTCTTTCCAGTTTTATTCTAAGTCATTGTGAGGTTATATTATTTTTGTGTAGTTTTTCCTGATCATCCAGCCTTAGTCACTTCCCATGCTTTTTTTTGCCAACCTTCACTTTTGTTTGTTTGCTTCAGGCTGTTTCTGGGTTTTTTGTTCCTTCCTGTTTATTCATGTTAAAATTAAAGCTCGCCTTTCTTTGGTATCCTTGCCTCTTGAATTCCTTCCGTCTTTTGGTCCTTTTTAGATTTGTCTTCAGAGTATTTCTTGACACATTGATTTTTGATATTTGCCAAATTGAAGGATTCAAGTAAAAGGAAAGGGAAAGAAACAAAGCTGCTGCTATTTGAATTCAGAAAAGGGATTTTTTTAAAATCAGGTTGTTTGAAAGTGTCGTCTATAATGATGAGAATTATCACAGAACTCTACCACCTAGTCTTTTGGTTTTACAGATTTTGGTTTTGTTTAGTTGCATTTACGTTGCTGTGTAAAAGTCTTGAGCCGCCCCTTCTTCTTTATGTTTTTAGTTATATGTATAGGCACTTTGTTACTAGCAATCGGTAACAAAAACACATAATTCGATCCCATTTCCCACTAAATGCCCAATATCAAACTGTTCCAAAGGAACTATTAGCAAAACACTTACACTGCACTGGAAACGGACAATTGGAGGACAACAGTGAGTGTCTACAGCCATCTGTAAAACACATTAAAGGCTCTGTCATTGCTCAGTTTCATTGCATTTAAGCCAGTGGTGTATGGGGTGTGGTCAAATCTGATGAAACCAGAAAAGTACCATCACATTTTGATCCATCATGCATTAACATCTGGAAAGCACTTGATTGGGAGTGGCTTAATTTTTCAGCAGGATAATGATCCCAAACACAATGCCAGTGCAGTAAAAGCATACCTGGATAGAAAAACACACAATGAAACACTATCAGTCATGAATCGGCCTCAGAGGAGCCCAGACCCCAACAGTATTGAAGCAGTGTGGGATCATCTGCCAACATCCAAATAAGAGCTTTCAGTGTCTTTCAAGAAGCCCGGAGAACTATTTCTGAAGACTAGTTGAAGAAAGTTTGTCTTAGAGAGTTCAAGCTGTGTTAAAGAATAAAGGTGGTTGTACCAAATACTGACTTTCAACCTTGATAAAACTATACAAATTCTGTTTTTGCCTTAAATATTTGCATGCCTTTTTGCATGTGTTTCAATACATGCCCTGTTAGGAAATGATGGTTTGCTCATAATCAAGATGAAAAAAATAGTCTATAGCATTAACCTTTGTACATGTTAGATGTGTTAATAAGTAGATTTAAATATAATTATACTAGCTTTAATATTTTCTCCACTGATGTTTTGTCAACTCTATGCTATCCTTCTTTCTCCAGAGTAAATTGGGGTCCTTGTTCCGTCCTGTACTGCCATTCACTCACATACAGGAAATAGAACCACCGTTCTCCAGGCCCAAACAAGTCCTCTCACCTGAGCCTGAAAAGAAACCAGAGGCCTCGACAGCTACCAACACCAACACCTTGATTAACAAGGACACAATGTAAGTGACTTTATCTATGTCGTTCCAAATGAAGGAATGACAAGCTGGGAGTCATCAGCATTGCAAAGAATATCATTGCAAAGAATTACTCCCTCATTAGACAGCTGACTCAGATTGTTCGGGGTTCTCCACACGATGCACGTTGCACAAACAGATGCTCAGAAAAAGCCATAAACTGTTGATCTGTGAAACATTTGCAGGCAAACCAGATACAACGGCAGCCAGATTGAGTTATTTTGATTTCTTTTTCCTGTTCATATTCAACCACATCCCTGGCCATTATAACCTAGTAGGGTTTGAATTGTTTACAGTTTTATTTGAGGAAATCAAACTGAAATCAATGAGTTCACCTGAATCCAGCAGACTCAGAATGACTGGAATTAAACTACAGACCTGAAGTAAAACCTCCTTGACACTGCACCGCTGACAGCATCCGATATTACAGTCAGAGTCTTTGTTTCTTGCACAGACTCAACCACAGGACTGCCATAAAACATTCCCAGTCTGGAGATGTTTCTCAGGCTTCACAGAGGCCCAAAAGTCGAAGAAAGCTGCAGAGAGGCCAGTCGGAGGATGTGCAAAATTTAACAAGACCTCAGGTAAAAAAATCACAGTCATTAAAATGTTTATTATATAACATACACTCTAAGTATATGCACTTATGCCTGTGTTGTCTTTCCTTTAGGAACAGGTTGAACTGAAGCAGGTGGAGAACACTTCAGATGCAGAGGCATATCCCAGCCTGGAAGGTCACTGCAGAGCAGCCTCTCTTCCCCGACTAAATGCTGAATACTACGTAAGCTCTCTGGTGCTCATGAGGTCATGCCTCTTGTTTTACTACTCACAGGAAGAATCTTACAATACTTTTTTGTTTTCTAGATTCTTGTTTTAGTCCAGAAATTGTGCAACATTTTTTTTTTTTAGATAAAATGGACTGAAAAAGGCTGATGGGCTGCTGAAGGGTTACTGGTTAGAGAATGCAGCCGGAAGCAGTGGCTCTCTGTCAGTCCGCATCAATTCAGCCTGTTGACCTCCCCTGAGAATTTCAGATATTTTACCAAGGAGGAAATTCAGCATGGAGATGTGTAAAGAATAAAAGATGCAATAAATATGCAGATAGAGGAAATTAGTTAACAGGAAGCAGCTTCACACTAACTGAGAGGAGCTATCACACCTGGCAGGGACAAAAATATTTGGAACTATAAAATACTGTGTCTAATTTTTTGGTTTCTGTACTTTGATCATAGCTCGCTCGTTACCAAATCCATTAACTAAAATGCATCCAGTGTAGGAACAACAATTTACTCTACCTTTGATGCGATAGAAGGTTTTGTTAATTTGTACTGATGTAGAAAAGGCAATGATATTACCAAGGCAATAACCGGATGAGATACAGCACTGAGAGCTCTTAAAGCATGACAAGCTTGAAATCTCTTTTAAAGAAAAGTGATAGATAAACCTTAGATATGATGTCTCAGATATTAAAAGCTCACATAATGCACAGACATGACAGTAATGCTTTTCTTTTGTAAATGTCTGAATGGAAACAGCTAAGCCCATTACCTAAGATGTTTAACTTTAAGTTTATATCTCCTGCAACCAAAACACTAAAATAAAGTATTTTATAATATGCATTTCTATGAGTGTAGAGTGCTGCAGGGATGGGTCTTAAAACCCAGAAATGATTTGACATTTTGCACCAGTTACTCCGGTTCAGTTGTCTCTAAAACAGCGAGTTTTTTGTTAAATGCATGAATTGATAAGTGTATTTAATGTAAACTTCAAAGATTTTACATTAAATACACTACGCATTTCATTCTAGAACATAAAAATAGGTCTGCTACCAAACAGCTGAATGAGAAGCTATATCATAGCTAACATAGGAGGTTAGGTGGTGAAGTCATGTGACCATAGTGCAGTCAATTTAGAGACAAATGTTAACACTTTACATAGTTATATTAGAAAAGGTCATAAACCATATGCTGCATGATTATTATATAACATTAAAATTAGGTATCTTTCAGTTTTTGTTTTTGCGATGCAGATTGAAAAAGCTGGCATAAAAATCAAACTGGCTTGTTGTCAAGGAAACCAGTTTGATGCTGACTGGTCTAGTTGAAAACTGGTCTAATTTTCTTACATTTTTATGATATTTACTGTAATCACGCTCACCTACAAGAACGTCTGAGTTTTGCGTGACTGCACTAATTTGTTCATTTTTATGACATGCACTTTTTTAGCAACCATTATTAATTATTTCACTTTTGTGAGTTACAGTAGCTGCTCGTGGCTGCTGCATTTGGATGTCATGTTAAGATAAATTTTCTGTCCATCATTTCTGTGTTTCTGGATTTTTCCACCTGTCAGATCTTGTCAGTTTAGCCTTGCCGTTTGCCTGTCTGCGTTTGTGTGTCTGTCTCTGTCGTTATGCTCTCTTCCACAACACGTAACATGTGCTTTCCTTATGTTTATGTTGCATTTTGATTTCTCACGCTCTCTCTATTTTAACGGACCAGGCTGGAGTTACTCTGTTTTTCATTTCTGTTAAGACGTTTTTGCAAAGGCTCAAACCCAACAATGTGCAAGTTCATAGATTAATATTTAACACTTTTTCTAATACTTGTTTTTAGAGCAAAGATGAATCAAGTATGAGTAAATACTGCAAATGTCGTATTTAGTGGGATATCAATACACATTTTTGATGCTCTTTTAATGTTTTTAAAGACATAAAAAAAATGTCAAATGTAGCTGGTGTACATACAGAGGTGCCGATTGGAATAGGGCTTAGTGAAGTGAAATATACATGAGTTTGTGGTAAATAAAAATACTCCAAGGAGGCAACATTACAGAAGAAGCAGCTTCTCTTGGAAGTCACAAAGCAGAACAATGTGAACACATGATAAAGAGACAATTTTGTACACTTTTCTACTTAATTGTCTTTTAAAAGCATTTGAACACATCAACTGCACCTTATTCTTATTGCAAAAAAATCATAAGACTGGCAACAGATTGAGCAGAACATGTTATAAGACATTCTCATCACCCCTAAGCCTGGTTTTGAGCACCTCCCCCCTGTTAGATCCTCTCCTCCCACCTGAACACCATACGCTACTGTGAGCCACCACACATATGGGCAAAGTTAATTTCAAATTCAGGACATGATTCACACCAGCTGCAGCGCCCATCACCATGCTTATGCTCAGACCAAAGTATTCAGTGAGTTCCTACTACATCCATCTTTGAACTCAGCCTTCATTTCAGTCAGGAGTCCGGATCGCTTTGATCAAAAAGAAGATTGTTATTCCATCTGCAATAATTTCGACTTGATGGCATGGCATGATATTGCAGCCAGAGGCATAGAGAGCTGCAGTGAGGCCCCTATACAAAACAAAGTGGGTATCAATGACAACAGACGTGGCATTGATGTGAGATTTGCCATTTAAATGTGAAGAAGGAAAGAAAAAGTGTGTTGTCATTGAGATCAGCTGACATAGCTGATCTGGTCTCCATGGCTTGTATAAAACTAATGCTATGCCTGATATCAGCTACACACCTGTAAAGTTTGTGGCTTTATACAAATGACACATATCTGCCATTTGTTGTTTTTCCAGACAAAATCTAACCTTTTACTTTTTCAGTATTAAAAGTTTGAAAGACTTTCTATCACGTGACTGTTTCCTCCTGTCTACATACAGACAGCCGTTAAGTATTAAAATGACTAAAAACCACATTTTGTGGTAGTTTCCATACAGTCGATGTTTCTGTCTGGTAATGATGACACGTGTGCGTTGACAAGCAGGATGAACACATTGTTGGTTTTGGTCTTTTCATTGACAGAAATATAATGCAGAATATCAACTGACTCATCCTTCTTCAGATTCTGCTCTCCTTTTCTGTCTTCCCTTTCTCCTGATTTCGATGCTCACTGCTAATGTTTTGCCCACCTCCTCTTGTGTGTGCTGTCTGATAGCGGAGCCACCCTCGCCACGCCCCTGGGACCCACCTGGCAGTATGTACCACCTGTTGTGCCACACCTCTCTTTCTTCTCCTCTCTCCTCCTCTTGTCCACACCCTCTTCTTTTTCTTCTTTTCTCATGTCTGTTTACCTCCATGTGCTCCTCTCATCACAGGAGTTCACACCCTCCCCACTATCATTGATAAAATGACCCCCCACCTCACAGTTTAATAACTGCTCATCCCATTAGACTGTTCATAGACACAGTAGTAGACACATTAAAACCCAGTATTAGCCGTTAAACATACCCAGAAAAAGCATTTGTATGTTTAACTGAGGTATGTCAAGCACTCTGTCCTGCTTTTCAGTATTTGTTACAGCAGTACAGTACTACACTTTGGTAAAAATGGGTGTATGTATGTAAGTGTTGTTATCTAGTGTGTAGTTTTTGCTTGTGAGTTAGTGTGATCTTTAAAAAAGAAACACAAGGTTGAGACAGTACTGCTGCTTTTCTGCTATCTAAAAGGTTTTCTTTTTAAAACCTTCTCCAACTTTATCTGTCATTTGTTGTCATGTTTGGTCTTAAAATCTTATTTTTCCAGACAAAATCGAATCTTTTATAGCCTCTTAGTTGAAGGCATGTTCTCTGTTAAAAGACAGAAAACCTTTCTATCACATCACTGTTTCTTCCAGTGGTGTGAATAGAGACAGGAAGAATTGAGAGATTATACCACTAATCTAAGAGGTAAGATTTTAAGACTGTGGACTAGATAAACTGACTTGGTAATATGATTTAGATTTTATTTTGTTGGCAGTGTTGTGATATTGTTGTGTGACTGTTGCTACAGGCTAGACTGTGAGGTAGGAACAAAAAGAACAGCACGTCCAACCTATTCCTGCCTGTGAAAGCAGCAACCAATGTACAAAAAAATAAAGAAGAAATGAAAGAAAAAAACATTTATCCACCAACCGTGTTTATCTGTTTTTAGTGGGCTTACAGTATGATTAAAGACAATGTTTTTGATTGGCTAAAATAATTAAATAAAATCTACACAGTAACCAGCAGGTGGGGTTGTAACTCAGCTGCTGTTCCAGCTTCCTATCACACAAGTTACCTGGTAGCTGTACTGGTCAGTAAGGTAAGACTTTGTTGGAGAGAGTGTCACTGTCCTCCAGGCATTTATTCAAAGTACTTCAGGGAAAATAAAGGATGACTGTGCAAATTTAAAGCAACACACCTCTATATAATTCTGCTTTAAACACTATATATTATAGGCTGTCTGGTAAAAAATAATGGCTCACTAAGCAGCTAATGAGCCTATTTTCTCAGGCGCTGGTACGGTAGACCCGAAACAGAGCAAAAAGGAAAATTATTTTAATCAGGCAGACACAGACATAAATACTTATAATACTAATGTCTCTGTAAAGTTAATCACAACTACTGATACATCAGTACTGTGTTTCCAGCATGTTTTGGTTGAATGTAGCACAGGTAAACTATCTTTGGGTGTACATGGCCATATTTTGGCAAAATATGAGTGTCTGGATCGTCTTCACATGTGAGTAATTAGATGAAGATATAGCTGTTGGTTGGAATGTCTGTTTTCAATGGGGAGTAAAGCAAAGCAACAAGCAACTAAATTTTAGGCCTGATGGCTAAAAACGATACAATAAGTTGTCACTTGGGCACTGGGTATTCACAATGTAGTGGAATTTAAAAACAGTGGATAATAAACAAAAGCACAAGCACAAGACACTGTAATTAGCTAGTTACAGTTATTGACTTTCTCATCTCCTCTATACAGGCATTTCTAACATAATTCATTTACCAAAAGAGACAAAACACCATGAAAAAGTCAAGCTGTACAAACAAAATCACTTTTTCCCAGATATAATCCTGATCATAAATTTCTTTAGCCACAATAATACAGAGTAACTTGATATTTTGACAGCCCAAGCTGCCACAACCTTAATTTGAGGCTAACCTTGTAGTAATTGACTCATTATTTACATTCTTTGTAAAGTTAGATGTACCCTCTTGGGAAAAGAATAAAATGCCACAAAGCCAGTGTCACCACCCCCACCTTTTCTTTGTTCACTAACAGAGTTGCTAGTGAAGTCCAGTAGCTTCAAGTTGTGTGACAGATTTTTGTTCCTTCTTGTTAATTTTTTTAACATCTGTGCTTTGAGTAGATGGGATCGAATGTCAGTCTTTAAACAAAAGGCTGTCTCATTGTGTGTTGTGCATATTTTTGGTGATTCACTAAAATTGATTTGGGTAAAAACAACTACTTCCAGCTTCACGCACTCTAGTCTCATAACACATCTGTCTTCCCTTCTCAGCCGATTGTGGACCTCAGTCCTATAAAGCGCTCAGCATCCTCGCTGACACCACAGCACTATTACCAGGATGTCGGGCTGAAGGACTATGACCTGGAACGCCCCGGTCAGGCTCAGTCCTCTGGAGGGATGGGCCAGGTCCAGGGCCAAGACAGAGCCCACCACCATCACCACCATCACCGCTGCCATAGACGCAGGGATAAGGACAAAGACAAGAAGCAGAAGTCTCTGGATAGAGCTGCATCAGTGCAGCCATCCAGCACCGTTGGTGAGGCATTCTTATTATATGCAGTGTTGGTCAAGTTACTTGAAAAAAGTAATCAGTAACTAATTACTGATTACTTCCGCAAAAAAGTAATCCCGTTACTTTACTGATTACTTATTTTCAAAAGTAATTTATTACTTAGTTACTTAGTTACTTTTTAAAAACACGATTTACAACCTGAAGAGGTGATAAAGCGATAGATCTTTCAGCCCAATTCTACTTTTTCTGCATAATCCATCATACAAAATGTAATCAAATGGAAAAGTCTCTTTTTAAAACTTGTTTTATCAGTTTTAATCTTTTAACTTTATGCATCAAGCAAAAATTTAATTATATGCAACATTCTCTGACTGGAAGAAATTAGTTTAACATTTAAACCTATTTTCTGCACATTCCAGCACATAAAATAAAATATTTTTTGTGTTTACACTCACTCTTTCAAATAGATGCAAGTAAAACACAGCAGAAAATAAATAAAGTCAAAGACTCAGCGGTCCTGTTGCTCTATTTTCACCTGTAAAGCAGGACTGCGGTAGGCGGAGGTTTACCCTGGTGCAGGTGTGCCGCGCGGTCAGTGGAAGAATCCGCGAGTTTCTCTGTGAATTTCCCATTACGTCGTTGCGCACTCGGTGCTTGCTTGGAAGTTTAGGGGTTTTTTTCGCTGTAAAAAGAAGTTTTCTTCCCACGCACAGCGGACACTAATGTTTTTGTCACTTTTTATGGAATCAAACTCAAAGTAAGGTCAGTACTTCCACGCTTTAAACGCTGCACGCTCATACTCTCTCCGCACTCGATATATGATCCATTGTTGATCTGCACACAGCTGTTGTCACGAACGTCGCACTCGCTTACGTCACTGTCGTGAGACATTCTCGCAAGAAAATCGCGGTTTTAGTAACGCAGTAACGCAGCGTTCCTACTGGAAAGTAACGGTAATCTAATTACTGTTTTTGCAATAGTAATCCCTTACTTTACTCGTTACTTGAAAAGAGTAATCGGATTACAGTAACGCGTTACTGTAATCGGATTACAGTTACGCATTACTTGTAACGCGTTACTGCCCATCTCAGCGACACAAAGATCAAGACGTTGAGAGAGAATGAAGAGGTGCACCTTTCCTGACTTAACCTTTTTCTGACTTTTTTTTTCAAAGATTTTTGATTTATAATGTACAGCACATAATAACAAAAGAGAACTCTTTAAAAATGCCTCGACCCATCATTCAATTCAGTAAACATAATTCTATAGCCACAGTTGTACTTTTACTGAACTGAAACTCCTCTTATAAAGCATTTCAATTCAATTTTATAAAGATCCAAATCACAACATCAGTGTCCTCAACACCCTTTGTATTGTAAGGTTGGGACAATACAATAATACAGAGAAAACCCCAACAATCAGCCAATGCCTTGTCAGAACCAGGCTTTAGGAGGGGCAGCTGTCTGCTGCGACCTGTTTTGGGTGACAAAATCTGTGTTTATCCTCAGCCAACAGAAATAAAATATTTCTCTTGTGATGTCAAAACATAAAGAAAACTTTTATAGTTCAATATCTCAATCAGGTATTTAACAGCAAGAACCAATCTGTCTCTACTAAAAACACATTCATTTTGTGAAACAATGAAAAGCACCCATATATAACAGCAGTAAACTGAACAAAAGGTCAGAATTTGCAGCCACTGGTTTCTTAATTATGAACATTTGAAAAAAACTATTTTTTGCAGTTTGTGATGGATTACAGAACACGAAACATTTTGGTAAGAAGATGGATGTGTGCTGTTAGATGGATTACAAAGACATTTATCGCAGATGTTTATGATATCTAAGATCCCCTGATTTTTCCTCTGCCAGCTACCGGCTGACTGATATCTAGACAGACATTTTTAGCTGTCAAACTGCATCACACTTCCTTAGTTAGGTTTTGCACAAAGAATATTTTTTTTACTGTTTTTATGTGTTAAATTGCCCTCTTTCTTGGATAACTTTAGATCTTTCGGCACATCCTATAAAACTTACCTACAACACTAATGTTCAGTAGATACACTGACTATTTAAGAGTGTTGAATGATTGATTAATTAGTTAGCTTTTAATCTACAAGGAGACTATTTTAATACCAGAACTTGGCATCACTTCTATAGAGAAACAGATAGCAATCCAAACTTTTCCTTTCAGGCATTGCTGCTGAAATTCTTCATAGGATTAAAGTTCCATGATCGGGTTATGTAGGTGAAGGGTTTTCTGCAGTGCTTCAGTCAGGAGTTTCTCATGTCAGTCTTTCCATATGATTAGACGAATTTTGCTGGGGATTTCTTTTTCTGTCTGTACCTTAGCACTTCATAAAGGTCTCCTGTGAATGCTCTGTTCCAAAACCTTACAAATTGAATTGTATATTAATGTGAAAGCTTGACTTTTTCTTTCATTGATTAAAACAAACAAACAAAAAAGAAAATCACAGCTGCTGCTCTCTTTTTTGGACCATTCTTTGTAAACCCTAGAAATTCCCAAATTCAGTGTGGAATAGTGGGCTGCTCAAATGTCCGAGCTTCGCACCCTTTGCAGGAAACTCATTTCTGCTGCTTGTATCCACAGTTTCATTCTTTCAGTCCTCATTCATTCTATGCTCATGACTATAGGTGGGGGTAGGAATGTAGATTGAATAGTAACTCAACAGGGTCATTTTTATGCTCATCTCTCTCTTCACCACAATGTATTGGCAAGTTTCACCAATCCATCTTTCAATCTTGTCTTTTTAACTTTGTGAACAAGACCCCAAGATATTGTTATCCAGTAGGATAATATAATAATCACATAACTTTATTTATATACAATTTTGATGGTACCATCCTCCAGATTCATTTACCGACCCCTCAGCTGAAGGACTGTCCAGAGAGCGAGCAAGGGAACGGGACCGCAGTCGGCCTCATGAGAGGAGGCACCACTCCTCAGCGGGAGAGAAGCAGCGCTACTATTCCTGTGAGCGTTACGGCAGCAGAGAGCAGAGCCACACCAAGTCAGCTGGTCCCAGCCGATCCACGTCTCCAGGAGAGGGACAGGACTCTGGTTTCCTCAGACAGGTGAGTTACCTGCCAAACTGTATGTGGCTTAGTGATTAACAGCTTGCTTGTTATGCAGTCTGTATGTATTCAAACAGTGGCCTGACTTACAGCTTAGTCAATCTACATCCACATTTGCATCAACACCCATTTAAATTGCAATTTTGAGCTTAATCAACAATGAAAGCCTCTAGATTTGTTTAACAATTTGATGTTTTTCAAAAAAAATTATTTGAGTGATCGCGCTGTATGAGGAATGATCAGTAAGTTCTGGGAAGAGTTCCATCAAAACCTGATTTGGGCAATCTCCCATTAAAGTTCATCCTCTCAGGCATGTTCAGATCTTCTCCAGAATGGCGGATATTTATAGATCTCTCCATGGAAGTCCTCTGATCGCTGTGTTTAGAAAGAAAGAAAGTGTACTTTATTGATCCCCGTGGGGAAATTCCTCTCTGCATTTAACCCATTCACTCAGTGAAGCAGTGGGCAGCCATTGGGCGCCCGGGGAGCAGTGTGTAGGGACGGTACCTTGCTCAGGGGTACCTCAGGGTAGCTGTTCAGGGGAATCGAACCCCGACCTTCCAATCATGGGGCCACCACTCTACCTACTGAGCTATCCCCGCCCAATTTACAATTTACAGAGAGCAGACAACAACTTTCTGATCATGAAAGGTGTGTTTCCAACTATAACCAGCCACTTTTCAGCAGTATTCAGTTAAGCTGTCCACAGTATCCAAGTCCATGTCATCCGAGGAATGAGTTTGGGAGCATGTTCATACTTTTTTTTTTTTTTTAGCCAACATTCATCAGGTTGTGCACCATCCCAAAGGAAGTCCTAAACCGTTGAGTAGAAGGCAGTTGTAATTCTTTTTAGGTTCATGAAGATGTTCCACCTTTAATCTGACAGGCTTCGGTTTTAAAAAAGTTTTTCACCTTTATGGTGGTCCTGAGATCGCATTACTGGCATTTAGCCCCCAGTTACACCTTGGTCCACATGACCTTAATAACTCAATTGATTGCAAGGTGGGGCAGTAGTGCCTCAAAGAATTCACACCTTGGCTCATGTGACCATAATGACCAATTCCTTGGTTCATGTGACTCATATGATGACAGAATGGGTCAGTGACTCTAAGGACCACCTTCAAAGGGACAACCCCACTAGGGTTTAATATGGTAGCACTGAAAGGTCACATGGACTGCAACTTAAGAAAACACCAGCAAACAGAAAAATGCTGCAAATGCACACAAAACACAACAAAAACAAAAAAAAAATGCTGCAAAAACTGAAATGTTTTGGTTTCTGTCACTTCCCCATCTGGTCCATCTCATTATTGTGTCCCCAGAAACACTTCTGGTGGGGTTTTTTTTTCTTAAAAGGCTTTTATGCTTTTATGCAACTCAGTCCTAATTAATGGTTTCAGCTTGGACCTCCCTTGTGTCTGCAACTACAGCAACAAAACTGCTGCCTTCTCATAGTAACATTGGTCTGTATATTTGTGCCCATGTGGCTTATTGTGCTTTTAGATAACATAAAGAAGGGATGTCTTTACAAGACGTATGGACAGGTGAACAAATAACAAACATTAAAGCTAAAAAAAAAGAATTAATCCTTCAAAGTCGCTGTTGTGCAACTAAATCATTCAGTCTTTCCTTTCTCAGCATGGCGGCAGTGTGGTTAAATCTGGCCACGGGACGCTTCCATCTGGTTCAAGCACACCGGGTCGTGGTCGCAGGCAGCTCCCCCAGACGCCCCTCACCCCTCGTCCCGCTGTGGCCTACAAGACTACCAACTCCTCCAATCTCCCATCCAGTGCCATCATGGCTACAACAGGGCACCAGACTCGCTTCAGCCGTGGTCTTTCAGAGCACGATCGCTTACTCGGAGCCCACGAGGAGTCCCCAATACCAATTACTCGAATTGGGTCTGACCCTAATTTAAACTGGCAGCAGCAGGACTCGTCTCAGAAGGCTCTCCTTGATGAGGAGGACTTCCAGGATGCTGTAAGCAGCCAAGGAGGAGGCCGCTCTGCCAGAACTGCTGCCTCCTCTACAGCCTCCGCATCTCACCCAACTACTGCTACACCCGTCACAGCACCCACCACACAGGGCCGAGCAGTGGTCATGCCTAACGGGTACCACTTCACTCTTGGGGTCAACTCTTCGTCTGGGCCTGGGAATAGAGGAGCAGGAAGTCTCAGGGAGAGGGAGGAGGATGACTGGTGCTAACGTGGCAGAAAATTTTAGAAAGCCTGCTGTTAGCTAGAATGGGGCAGCTCATGAGTGCTGCTCAGCGCTCAGGTCAGGAGCTGGTACAACAGGAGGCCAGGCGACTGATACAGAAGAAAACACGATGAGGGAAAGTCAGTGGAAAGCGCTCTGAGAGGGGATCAGAAATAATTACAGCTTTTTAGTGTTACTGTCTTTTTAATATATCAACCACTTTCAAGAAAAAAACACTGACTTTTTCTAACCCCTTTACTTGCACTGGAATTAGTGCACATGTGGAGGCTCTCAAGTATTTTGCCTTGGCCAGTATATTCAGTGGAGAAGAAGACAAAAGCCAAAATATCCCTGTTGTTTGTGCTTTAGACTGATGCTCATCCCCGACATTGATATGACTGCCCACACCACACTTTTTATTGCTGTATGTCTTATTTTGTTACCAAATTTCTCTCTCTTGCTTTCTCCTGGTTTGTTTCTTTATTGTATTGCAGCACATCTTTACCAGAGCAGATTAGGAAAGCTTTTTGTTTTTAATGTATGTCTTAAAATTCTGTCATAACACCCAGTAAACACAAAAGTCACACAATGACTTAAGATAAGACCAGAGTTGAGTTTTTAGAATCCCACTTTTGTAAAATCTCCCAGATGTAATTTTATGAGAGCACATAGGGACTAGAACAACTCGTTTTTGACATTAAGTGGCTAACTACTAAGTGCCTCTTTTACCACAATGTATTAAAATGGAGCCTGACTTTGGGTCAGTGGAGGTTGGGTGTAGCTAAAAAAAAAAGCAAAAGCAAAAACAAAAAAAACGTGGTCAGAACAAAACTTGTGTTTGAATCTGGGCTGAAAGCAAAAAATCAAAAATCAAAAACAAAACAAAACATTTCTTTTGTGATGAATCTTTTCGTAGGAAGATTAAAATTAGAGATCCAAAGTGTAGTGCATGCCAGGATTGTCAAAATAGTGTCTGTACTTTTGCCTGAGGGTGTGTGGTAAGCATTTGCCTTTCTCTTTCAGATATACTGCCAGACATTTGGTAGAAAACATTCTCTGAATGAGGGGAAAAGTGCCATTTTTTTTATGATTTTCTGAACATGAATCTCACATCCAGACAAATCTGCCTCCTCAAGCAAATCCCTTCTTGGCCATATTTGCCCAAATTTCACGGGTTTCCTATCTTCTAATCTTTCCTCAGACAAAGTTTTGCGTGAGGGTACCTGTGTGCGTATTTATAGGTACAATAAAGAGTTGTGTTGTTGCTGCTGACTGTTGACTTAAAGTAGGGCTATGCAACAAGACGACACTTCATCCGCCCTGTAGCTTTACCCTCTGGAAACTCCAGATTCAGGCTTTAGTGTGACTGTGACCAAATTTTACATTCATGTGTGAAGAGCTGTAAATTGTAAATGTATCATATGTGTACAGTTAACTGACAACACACACTAAAGGCACGAATGGTATCCAAGTGGATATAAGTGAATTCACAGGGCATTTTTGAGGTTTGCAAGTTGACTGCACGACGCCTACTCAGATAGAACCACCCAAAATATAAAACTGTGTTCTTCTCTTTCCAGACTTGGGTCAAGTTGTATTTTTAAATAATTGTAGTGGTTTTTAAACTTGCTGGGAGAGCCAGATTCTTCAGATTGTTAATGAAGTGGTTTTATGTCACTCAAAAGTGAGACCTGAACCAGACCTGTACCAACTCCTCTGAATCTTTACCTCTTCCAACTGGGCAGGGTATAAATCCTCACAGACTAAGGCTTGCAATACTCTATTTTCTTTACAGTCAACAAATTTCAAACCAAAACTCAGTTCTTTCTGTGCTTTATTAGCCTGAAGCCCATTTATACAACTAGCAATGGCAACCTTTCTAAATAGATAACAAAATATAATTTTATAAATTTCATATCTTACATTTTGTGTTTGTAGAGTATTTTTTTCAATTATTTTTTTAAACTTAGTTACTGTAGACTTTAGAAATGTTTTTCAACTTAAAAACTACTTGGGTTGGTGCTAGTAATTTGTTGGCAAACATTTCCAGCTCTATATTGATCTTTAGAAAGTTAAAAAGTGCATATAAAATTAGTGCAAATGTAATCTTAAAACCTTCTTGAAAACTAATATTGAAAAATCTCTGTTGCAATGACTTTGGAGCTTTCTGATGAAAAGGATAACCAGCCTGACATTTCCTGTTCTGTCATCTCATTTTTATATTTCACTAATTTTTTTTGAATATTAAAACATATATAAATAATGTAAGAATATATTAAAGAATATATAAAATGCAGAATATTAATATTAAAAAGGGGGGGGGGGGGGGGTTAACTAATAAAATGCAGCGATCTGGTAATTCTGGTTATGTGATGCTACTTCATTGTTTAAGCACACTGGGTTATGATTGCAGACATCTCTAACTGATGCCATTCTTTTACCCTGTGGACTAAAGATGTCAATTTATCTTCCAGTATCACTTTTGCTACATTAAGGCACCGATCTGTTTTTAACTGTTCATTTTTAGAGCATGGTCACTTATTATCTAAAATTAAGGCATTAAAATTTCATCAATCAGTTCTTTAAAAGTGTTAAAAATACTAGATGTCAGAGATATTATTTTCTGTATCGTAAGGTTAGCCAAAATGCTCATGAGAGGCTTGATCTGCTAGCTGACAATAGGATTGTGAAGTGTAAATTAAATGAAAACTGAATTTCAGCCAAAATTTTGTGGGATTAATGAAACTGGTACTACAACTGTTCACAAGGCCTGGTGTATTTTGTATTTCAATATGAATTGCAGCAGTGAAAACCAATGTGAGGTCCAGTACAAGCATTTCTAACAGGCTAGCTTACATAGTTTGCTCGTGACGCTAACAACAAAAGGGTTTTTTAAATGTTCAATTAGAGCCTCAACTAAACCACATAAACTGATCCAAAAAAACACATTAATTATTTTTCTTTTTCCTAAATTTTGTTCTTGTTAAATGAATCCTATATTTTATTCTGAGTCACATTTAGCAAAGTTTTAAATCTAACTTAAGATGTAGGGCCAGTGCTTTATTTTGATTTAGCTACATGCATCTTAAGCGCGTTTAAACATGAGAGGTCAATAAAAGAATATGTAATATCTAAACCATACTATATAATCCAGTTAATTTACAGTATCAAAAATATTGGTCCTTACCTACAGAATCTACACATTCATAAATATCCTAAGAAAAGTCACTGAAAACTGTTATTTTGTCACAAATTTGAGTATTAAAATTATTGGATAGTAAGAAAGTGTTTGTGGGACTTGAACTGTTGTTTAGGAAAGGAAGGAAAGTGTCACCCAGTGCAAGCGTGTGGTTCACTGATGAATTTTAAATCGTTTCTGGGCAGCAGTTTTGAATACACAGAGAATACTTAAATCCACTCTTTGTTTAGTTCTTTTATTGGCTTCCAAATAGGAATAGTGCAGAACATGGCCAGCCCTATCCTTTAAAGTACATGGCTGAAAGAGTTCTCTTTAATGACAGCCTGCTACTTAAATGTACACTGCTATACATTAGGTTGTAAAGCTTTGAAAATAGGCAAGAATTTGTTTCTTATATCAACCATGGAGGTGATGATTATAGTCCTTGTTATCTGATATCTGAAAAACCTCCTGCTTTTATTATAGTACAAAACCTCTGTGCCTATTTTGTTCTGGCAAGTTTATAAACATGCAAATTATTTGCAAATATTCTAACCCGGTCTGATTTTATCCAGATACAGTTTTAATTTTTTTCTCTTAATTGTGCAATGTACTTGATGGATCTCACGGGATTTTAGACCATAAAGGTGTGACTCTGTTCTTCATCGGGGCAACAATAGATTGCTTGTTGTCTCATTGCAAGTTGCTATATTGGGGCAGAGATTTGTGTTTATGTCAAAGACCTTATTTTCAAACCTCCAGTGAGCCCTACGTAACCAGGGTGCCAAGTTTTCCTCTTCCAGTTTTCTAAAGCTCCCCTCCCATCCCCCTCTGGACATGTCCTCTTTGCATGTTCTCAAAAGAAAATGTGCATGTGCTAAAAAAAAAAAGAAAAAAAAGAAACAAAGATAATAATAATAGAAGTATTGTTTGGCTTCATTATGTCCATGATTTGTACAATTCGTTCCTTGGTTGTATTTTCTGATTATCTAAACAAACGATGTATCGGTTTCAGGTAAAGAAAAAAAAAGAAAACAAGCTTGAATAACATTTTCTCACAGAACCACCAAAGTGGAAGCAGATTAGAGGTTCTGGAGTGGCTGATCCTTCGCTGCCTGATATGTTACTTGACTGTCTCTCCTGCAGTCATTTGGACTCTACCTATAGATTTTGTATGAATATAAGTCATTGAATAAAGAGGTATGATTATGAAATGTCGGTGTCTGAAGATTTCCTTGAAATGTCTCTTGATTGAGTTTGGTATTATTTACCATTTTATTAGAGCTAACATTTTTTTGTTAGCTTGAGACCTTCGGTGGTTTCTACAAGGAAAAGGAAGGTACGCATTCAGTAGACATTAATTAAATAGGAATTTTAACAAATCCCGGCTTCTCAAGTTTTAAACACACTAAAACTGGTGCTGTGCTACCTGATATCTGGAGGTTAGGATGCCAACCACATGAGTACAGATGTAATCAGCCGTTGTTTGAACCAGACATCACAAGCATATTGGGTGATTGACGAGCTGTTACATGCATAACATGTTATATGTGTCTTTCTGTACAAGGAACCATCATTTATAAATAAACATGTATTCAGTATGATGATAAAGTCATCATGAACGTAACGAGCAAGAAAGCCAAATTCCATTCACCCAAAGTCTTCCATATAACCAGAAGTCTTTTTATAAGCACACGAGTTGCTTCATGCTGGCTATAAAAAAAGGATACAGGTGTGAGGCATTACATCTCTCTTTTATATAGAGTCTTTGATGAGGTACAGAAAAAACACAAGGACCTGGAAGATTAACGTAGGTGTTATGTTGTGAAAGACTTGTTCTAAACCAAAACAAGTAGTTATGATGGTGAGAGACATGGAAGCAGTAGATGAAAAGGCAGTAAGCAAAATTTAAAGCAAAACAAGTGGACCAGAGGTCAGAGGACTTGACTTCCTGTCTACTTATCAGAAATCAAGTGTGTTTTTCACTCCTCCATCCCCGCCTCTTATTCAAACGTTTCAATTACTTGATATAAAAAACACTGCTACACTGTGCACTTGCCATGCTGGAGGATATATTTTATTAAAATTTTATAGTTTTTAAGAAACCCATATTGGTCTCAAGTAGCTTTGGAATCTGCACATTTGACGAGTGTTTAATCTCCCTAACCCATGTCCAGCCAGTCTCCTACTTTACCAAGTAGGCGTTCTTCCTACCTTTACCCTTTTACCTTTGCCTATACTGCTTCCTGTTTTTGGTTCCTGGATTGTGAGCTTGGTACTGTAGCCTGTGTTTGCACCTCACAATGTTGTATGTTTGGAGTGGAATTACAAAAGTTCTAACCATCTCTTGGGAGGTGGAGAAAGGGAAACGAGTCAATTTTTCAAAACAAACAAATTAGAAGTAAGTTGAAGACAGGCTCGAAAACAAAAATGGGAGGAGGCCCTGCAGGGATTTAATTGGTCAACAGGAGAGGGGCGGGGCTTCTCTTTGCTCGTTTGGCTCTGCAGTGATGTGATACAGCTGCAGGAGGAGAGAAGCTGCTGCTGGCTGAGAAGGAGGATGAGGAGAGGTGAAGAGGATGAAGAGTTAGTTACTCTGCACTTCGCTCCTATTAAAACTGCAGAATTATAGAAAAAGTGCGATTCAGCAATGTTCCCCACTTTGACTGCTCTTTAACTGGATCAGTTCAGACTTTCAGTACTTTTCTAGTTTGCATATGTTTCATTTCTGAAGCATAAAGGCGGCCACACCGGGAAGATGTTGCTCTGGTTGTTAAAATGGACAGTTTGCGTTCTCGGGCTCCTCACGACGAGCAACGCCTCACCTGACGACGCATCGGTCGACTTCGGGGGAGAATCCGGTTCCGGGATGCTGCAAACAGGTAAGATTGGTGCAAACACCTGTGGAGCCTCTCTGCTTTTGAAATAAATATAACCTCACTGATAAGATCAGGGTTACTCTTGCAGCAGTGGAAACTTTTACAAGGAGATGCGTTGAGTCTGTGGTTCTCAGTCATTTCTGGCATGTCACAATTATTAAGACAAAATATGTTCATGCCCCACACCTCATTTTTTTTAAGATGATTAACAGCAAAACTTTGAATTTAGCCTATCAGAAACTCTTTCTTTGGCTTCACTTCATAGTTTCCACCGTCTTCCTCAGCACACCTGCACTGGCTCAGCGCTCCACGTCTGAGACCAATTGGGTTACCTAAAGAAGTTTTATAGCCACATTCTTCACATTTGCACCCCTCCACCCAGCTTTGCTTTAAAGTCCCAATCTGCCTGCAACATGGCATCGCTGACATTTAAAATGAAATTAGCACAGTTTTCAACACTTTAAGTCCCATAAAATGCATTTCTCTCCTAAGTTCTGCCATATTAAACAAAGTCATCTACTATGTACCATAAAATATAAAATCATTGTAGTTTTCTTGGAAATCCAGGAAATGTGCTTTTCTGTATTCTTCACCCTTTACTGCAAAAGTGTTATTTTCCTTTTTTATGCCACATTTACTGATGCATCCCCCTTAAAGGCGCTTATAACCCAGCAGGACAACAGCAGGATGAACTATTAGTCAGCTAGACAGCATGACATCATTTTTTTCAGAGCAATTTGGATCCAGATAAAAATATTTCACTTCTCATCAGCAGCTCCTCCGACACTCAACAACTGCAGTCGCTCCAGCTCTGATGTTTTTCCTCTAATCGCTTTTTGGCGTGAGAGCAAACTTAAGCGTTTGTAGACTGAGGGAATAATTTTGTTTTTGCATGCTGTGAATAGTCAGACCACAATGAACTAATCAGGCTGTGACTATATTTCTTTATTTATTTTTTGAGCACAGACCACTTATTTTTATGGCGTATTTTAAAGATTCTGACAGCTTCACAAGAAGAAAATACTAATTAAAAAGATTTTTAGAGCACATTTGTTATTCAAATTAAAACCTGCTGATAACTATTTCACATCAACAAATTGGAAGCCCTTAAACCAAAGTCTCTCGTATTCCTAATTTTAAAAGTTGCACTGATTTTGCAA